ATAGAGCTACGACCGAGTTCTCTGGTATGATACGCCGCGCTCTCGCGCAAGCAAAGATACACCACCGCCAACGAGTACCAGAGCCAAACTTCTGCGATGGATCGTAAACGGCCTACTCGCTCGGAGAGGGCTATGTGTTATCTCCCTACGGTCTCTGCTACGCGACTAGTTATAGGCATGCAGGTACGGCAGGTATAATACACTGGCGCAGTAGGCACCAGAGGTGTGTACGTACGGGGCCTCTCGTTACCTTCTCCTGGCGCGCGCGCTTCGCAATATTCGACAGAGTCTGCTCCGCATCTGCTGTGTCTCCACCACTTCTTTTGCTGCTGCTGACCCTCTCTCTCTCTCTTTGGAGTTCTATGGGGGGGCCTCTAAGATCCGTGGCGCAACGGGCCCTTCGTGTACGGGAGACCCACAAACTGCTGCGCTTTTCACTGGTTTTTTTTTTTTTTTTGTTATATATAGGTACCGCATTATTTAAATTTTTGATCTTCCTGTTTTGTTTTTGTTTTCAGATCAATTGTTACTCTTGCGGAAAGAGCAACGCATCAGAAGTTGAGTAGTGCATCTAGGTACTCGAGAGGAAATAATATTGGAAAAGACGTTTTTGTTCAGCCCAAGTAGAACAATACGAGTATGGTAAGACATGTTGATCGTGAACGGTCGCAGGCTCTTATCGGTGCACTTGATTATTTCGGACTCTCATAAGTGGTATTATTATTATTTTTGTTGTTGTTGTTGTTGTTGTTGTTGTTTAGTCAACTCTGTGCTTGCATTAAATTTTTTCGAATAAAAAGTTAACGAGCTGCTGCAACACGAAAAGTTCAGCGAAATCTCTGTCTCTGTCGTACACCTATGTTGTTTCGTATCAAAAATTGAGCTCATCAACACCCGACGTGTATTTCTGCTACTTCCTTGACAGCAGAGTTGTACCATTTACTTTATTAGAAAACCACGTAACCACACGTGGTATATGTATACATGCAATGAAACTACGTTTTCCTTGAAAAACAAATAAATGCCAGGCAGCCGCAAAAATAAGAGTGAGACGTGACAAGTACAAAAGAGCCCAGGAGAGAAAGAACATGGCAAACGATTTGGCTCCGCCACTACTGTACCACTGGTATATAGTTAATCTGCTGCCTAACGGTAAACCCGCGAGGATTTTTGCGCCTTGTATTTGCGGCGCGCCGCATTACGCCGTTAAAGCAAATCTCCTTTTTTTTTCTCTCGCTCCATCTCTCATACGTGTACACACTCGTCGCTTGAACCAACGTTGATTTTTCACACTCATCGCGAATAAAGTTCCGCGTGCCTTTGTACGTGGATTAATCCACGGCTGCTCGGCACGGAGCGCGGGTTATCGCGAAGCGTTGAAAAAACACGCGTATTCATGAAATTACCCCTCGAAAGCCGAGCGGGTGAATTAACTCGACGCGGTGAGCCATAATGGATATTATATTTACACAGTGCGAAATTCGCTCCAACGGCAAGCAGGTGGAACATCGGTAGGCAACAATTTCCAGCCAGGAAGTTTGTTCGGGTGCACGCAGTCCTAAATAGTTTGCCCAGTGTTTTTGGAATAGTTGTCCGGGCAAACGTTTCAAACTCGTAGGCAGGAACGATTGGGTTTTCGCGTGCGCACGTGGTTTGGTAAATAAAAAAATAAAAAAGTCCTGCTGGTAGGACGATACTTTGGTGCCGAGCAATTTTATATTTTCACACGGGTAGTTCCCCCTTGCGCGGTGTATGTACATTGGAAAGGAACAATGTGCACGCAAAGAGTCGTAAAATGTCTTACGTAAACGGGAAACGATAAAATTTTCCTTTCCGAAGATGAACGGCGGAATGTCGTTCCTTTGATGCGTACCGACCATTTAGGCACCGATCATTCAAATAAAAAAGGGAATCCCCGGGACGGATTATTTTATTTCATACGTATTGCACTTTATGTAACGCTAACACCGACAGCCAAGCTAATCAGGACTCATGTACGCACAAAATATTCCTGTGAGTGGCAACATGTATCCTTACCAAGTGCAGGGTATGGGGAAAAAAAAAATCTCGTACAACCATCACTTTGATTATCGACCTTTGGTCCTATTTTTTAACCACTAATTACTCCGTTTGAGTGACTACGCTCGTTATTGTTTTCGAATCGTCGAAAAGAACTTAATTACCTTGTATGTATAGGTATCCATTTACATCTCACGTTGCACGTACAATTTGCGAGCACTGTTTCCGGTTTTTCCTCCTCTCGTTGACCCTCCGCTCGAACGTCGAGCTAGGGAGCCTCGTGCACGATTAAGATCGTGCATGTACAAGCAACAAGTGGAAATCGTTATTAAGTATATACATACCCTCACGTGGTGACTCGCGGGCAAAGAGGGACGATTTCATTTGTGCGCTAATTAACCGCTTTGCTGTTGAACCACGCGTTATCCTTTTACTTCATCCGTATATTATACCAGTGCACGATCCAAGGCCCGATATCGTACATTGCACACATGTACCAGATTATTAGTTGATAATTCCTTTTTGCTTACCACGTGGACGTCTCTCTCTCTCTCTCTCCGACTTTGCGGATCGTACACACAGATTGTATTGATGATTTTTCGCTGGGGGAGGGAAACCGCTTGGGCCTGTTTGATCGCAGAATCGGATCGGGTACAATTTCCTCCGATTGTCTCGAATAATCATCGCTATATTTACGTAAACAAACATCTCCGCGTTTCAAAGGAGGAGAGACGGAGGGACCAGCGTCTTTCACCCAGTGACCCGGTCGGAAACTGGATTAACTCCCCCAGCAGGATTGCGCAACTCCTGCCGGTCGCCACGCGAGAAGATAGTTTCGCAACGACGAGGATATACACACTGTTTTTTAGCACACAACAGGCTTTTAGCAGCTCCTTATCTCTTTCTCGTACGCGCATATCCATTAGCCAGCCAATGATACCGCACGTGTCGTGAAAAGTTGTATACACACTGTCAAGGATACAGCGCGAATCCTGTGATTGCTGGATCAACTTTTCTTGCGAGCTTTTGACACGAGGCGTAACGAGGGAAACGCTGGAAGGTCGATTGGACACCGAGCGGTGGAAGAGAGTTGGACATGTTTTTTTTTTTTTTTTTTTTTTTGTTTTTTTTTGTACCAATATTTTATTCGTTGGAGTAATGGTTGAATGCACCAGTGCCCACCTAAGAGCAACATCAAGCCGTAGAAGCTGAAAAACGACGCACCGTGATTGTAAGCTCGAGCGCTTTGATTTCTCAATCGATGAGCGGAAAACAAAAAACATTCATTGGTAATGGTGAATTTGTTGGTTTTTTTTTTTTTTTTTTTGTGATGAAACTCCCACTACTTTACGAGAGCCCAAAATAACGAAATACACGCAAAGCTTTTAAACATGTGTCTCCTGCGTGTCACTTTCGAGTTTCAGTCAGTTCAACCGAGATCTAATATATTCAGCGCGAGGATCCTTTCGTGTATTGTTGAGCTCGTAGCGACGCACAATAACCCACATAAAACTAAAACAATGGGACCAACTCACCCATTCACCTAAAGTTGATTTACATATTGTTATTCATCGTTATATGCTTCTTCCATTAAAACTTTAATAACAAACTAATTCTACGGTCAAAAAGATGCCGCGCGGAGTTTTGTATGCACGTAGTATTTCGACTCGATGGTTTGGCTCGGGACGAAAACAATTGTGTATACACCAGCCTTGGGTATCAGAGCGAGCCTCCGAGAGAGCGGAAGCCTAGAGATGATGAGAGTTATTTTGATTGGCCCCGTAATAAGTGTACACCGTAATAAAAGTAGGGAGGTATATAACTTGGTTGCTGTGGCGAGGTGAAAACGACACCCAAACGAAAAGCCGGATGGAGCGTGTACTTACGCGTGCACTTGGGGAGGGGGGGGGGGCGTCGGTGTGACGAAGTCGCGGATCAGAGTTCCTGGTCCGATAAAGAATCGCGAGAATAAAGCTTACTTCGTTTCGCCGGCTCTCGCGAGTATTGTGATCCCACCGCGCGTATTACAACGCCATGGGAAAACTACGGGTTTCGTCATTGCATTGTATACCTATACGCCGTGGAGGGTAATCGAGCTGCGAGTTACGTTTTATTTCTTTCTTTCCTCTTCGAGCGTCGAAACGCCGTATCAGGTTCGTGCTTTTGCTTTACGATACCTTGCGTTTTCGCGAGTCTCGGGCGATAATTCACGATTTCAACGATTTTACCGAAAAGTATTCATGAAATTCAATAATTTTAATGAGTTGGTTACCCCACCGATTGCGTATTATAGTTAATCAAATACTTTGCGATGCACATTTTGTATAAGGGAGGTGGGTACAGAAGTTTTAACAGCGCACTCGAATTATACAAAGTGCACCGACATGGTTCATTTCGCTTTGGAAATCGCCTCGGAACCCAATCACGAGCTTCGCCAATACGCCATTCGCAGGTACGGAAACTTTGTTTTCGAAAGTTGAGTCATGGTCCACGAGCGACATCCACGCGCGTGTGTGTACAAAATGGGCGCAGAGCAAAGTTAAAATCGAAACGTCGCGTCACGTGAAACCCGAGGGGTAGGTACGCCAAACTCCCCCCCTGACTCTCAAACTCCCGCGATGAGACTGCAGTGGTCGCGTAATGCCAAAGACACCGGTCAAGCGTGAGACTTTCCCTGCGCGTCAATAACACAGGGGATTCCCCGACCAAGAGGCCAAAAGCCAGAAGAGGAATTTCGCAATAAGCAAATGTGGGTCTGCATTGTTCCGTGAGACGTGCACTCGAGTTAATTGCGCGTACTTCAGCAGTGAGGTTTTCACTCTCCGTCTTTATTGACACGTGTGGAAAACGCCCCAGCCACGAGCGTCTACATGAATTGACAATGGAGAAGAAAACAAGTGATATTATGAATCCTGGCTTTTCGTCCATCCGTGGCTGGTTGAGGCTCGCTGTGATCGATTAGCCCAAAGGAGTGCACCCGTTCAACCGGCGTACCGATGTAGCTTGTACCGACTCGTGACTCGTTGGATCTTTGATTCCGCGTAGGACTTCCCGTCCTCGTCGTCCCCGCCGTAATCGCCTTCCACGTCGTCGAGACCCCTTTGCTCCTGACAACCGAACAAGACCCAAATTACAGGAAAATCAACTCACTCGCTCCAACTTTTGTGCAGAGAAAAACAGGATCCTCACACTTCTGAGGTCGCCGTTGCTCCGCGCGTCCGTGGGAAAATCCACGTCCTTGAGGGTTAGTAGCCTGTCGTCACCGTCAACTCGTCCCTGAGCCGAGGTCCCGTTGGCCCCGTCGTCGTAGACCGGGAGAACCCACAGGGACTCGGGCAGCGTCCCGTTCCGCGTCATGTTCCGGCGCAGCTGGTACTTGACGATGTCGACGAGCTTGCGCGATATCACCTCCTCTTCCTGCGGGTCCACGTAATCCTCGAGGTTGACGATCACCTGGTACTCGCCCGGGCTGTCCGGTGGGCCCTCGCTGAGGTTCCGAGAGAACAGGGCCCTCATCAGCTCGGGGTTCTTGTCGATGTCCACGAGGATCCGCACCTTCCTCGGCGAGGGCACACCATGGCTAGGGGACTCCTGCTGCGAGCTCATCACGTTGTCGGTCTTGTCCTCGTCCTCGTCCGTAAAACTGGGGGGTCCCTTCCTCCGTGGCTTCAGATCCTGCGAAGCCCAACCCGTGAGGGAAAGGACGAAAAAAAAAGGGGGGCGGGGAACCGGGAACGGGAATTGCTCACCAGGAGGGACGTGTTTTTAGTGAGCCAATCCAGAAACTGGTCCAGCGACGTGTCGTCGTCGTCGACGTCCAACCTCTCGTCCAGCGCGCTGGACCTCGACGACTGGGAGTTAGTCCTGTTACTGACCCGCGGTGCCTCGGTCGTCCCGTTGCCCGGGCCGCCGTCCTCGTACGATTTCTCCTCCTCGTCCCAGTACTTGAGCAGCTCCTTGAGCAGTTTCCTGATGTACTCGCGTCTGGATTGCCTGTCTCGCTTGTCCTCGCCCGGAGGCTCGGTCACTCCGTCGCGGCTCGCGTTGGCCGGGGGTGTCCGCTCGTCCGAGTGGTAGATCAAAAAGTTGTAGGGCGGAGGGAAGTAGATCAAAAATTTGGGCTGCTGTTGGCCGTCCGGACTAGCGTTTTCCGCTGACAGTTTCAGTATGTTGGGCTTGATCTGGCGGTACTGCTCGAAGCCTGTAACGGGGCACGGAGGGTCATTTGGGGTGACGCGGTAGAGGTATAGGGACGAGTCGTCGGCAGACCTGCGACCGAGTCGAGGATCGAGGCAACGTTGGGTGTGGATTTGTCGGAAGCCGGTGTGGTGGTGGTCCCCCTCGGCAACTTGTCGTTGGGAAAGAAAACCTTCGGCTGTGCCATCTGGGGCTCGAGGCTGTAGTTCTGCCTGACCCGGGTGTAGTTGCTCAGGTAGTACGTGTCCCGCTGGGCCGAGGCTCGCACACCGCTGCTCCCGGGATTGTTTAGCGACGGAGGTGGCGTGTCCACCGGGTTGAGCTGGTAATAGGACTGCCACGCTTTCCACGAGTTCTTGGGGCCATTGACAAACTCCTGGTCTTGGAAGCTCGGGATCTGCACGAGATGGTGGAAGGAGCAAAACGAGGCCCCGTTACCTTGTATACTTCAACACTTTGCCTTGGATATACCCTGTGTGTCGATGGCGCTTGGGGAAGGCAAAGTTTTTGCTGCTCTCCCACGCCCCCTCCCTTTCATCCTCTGCTCAAAATCGAGGGATATGAACATTTTCGATGTCGTTTCGCGTGGGTGGTATCTTTACGCAAAGTTGAAGCGAGGACAATTTGTTCAGCAAAAAGTGGATCCTACTTTTTGGTTGACGGACGAAAAAAAAAAAAACGGATACTCGGCTGCTTTTTCTTTCGCGATGTACGGGCCACTTTACCGGCGGTCCATCAATTTGTCTGACGTCAGCCCAGAAACATCGTGGCTAAGTAGGGGTAATTAATTTACCGTCTTTTCAGAGACATGTCCCGCTATCCTTGCGCGAAAAAAAAAAAAAAAAAAAAAATGGTGAGTTCAACGACCACGCGCGATCGTAAGAAGGCAAATCGAGGCAAGCGAAGTGGAAAAAAAAAGAAAAAAAAAGAAAAAGAAATAGCCGATAAGGCAAAGACCGAGGGAGCCCGGGCAATCTTTTCCACTCGATCGAAACACCCCTTCCCCCTTTCCAATCCCATCTGCTCTCGGGGCTTCCAATTGTCGTAAACGTCCCCTCCCCGTCGCTCAGTGCGGGGCGTATACAGCTTGAAAATCGAAACACTCACCCCCTGGGCAATCTCGGACGAGGCTGGCAAGGATTTTCGTGGCTGACCGGTTGGATATGAGAGGCTGCCGTTTTGTATTCCGGGCGTCCCGGTAAATCGGCCGGCTTCATTGAAACCCGATGAGTCGGGGCTATGTTGGCCGCTCGTGTCCTCGAGTCTGGGCTCATATGGAGCTCGGCCGGGAGGTATTGTTTGCGGCTTTGCAGAGGTCGAGGATGACGCTGGTGACGGCGAAGATCGTGGTGGTGGTGGTGGTGGCTGGTGGTAGGAGAAGTCAAAGCCCGTGCCGGAAGCCATGGGATCGATGCCGTCCTGTTGAAAGGGAAACAAAGCACGAGTACTGCACCTTTTCGTCAATGCACCAATTTGATTAAACCATTTTTTTCTTTTCTTTTTTTTTTTTTTTTTTTTTTTTTTTTTTTTTTTTTTTTGTCATCGAGAGGGCTGAGCTCGAAAGTGTGAAATCTCAAAAGTAAATGAAAGAAAACTGCTCTCGTTTGGCGGCAAAATAAGCTTTTGCAAAATTCGAGCTATCTCCGCTATATACCACGTAATAAAAAAAACACTGCGTAATCACCCGTTTATTAACAACCACGATAAATTTTCCGCCGGCAAATCAAATAGCTCGTCCATCACCTTCCTGCCCCCTCCTCGGTTCGAGCCATCGATAAATTGCCGGCCTAATACAGCCATCATCGGCACGCAAACTCAGATGCAATTTCCTTAGCTGGCGGGCGCTCGAGCGCAAAACTGATTTCTCGAGCGCAAACTCGATCGACCTTCCGTACCCCGTATACACACACACACACACACAAGAAAGGTATATAGGTATGGCTCGAAAATCCATAACTCGTGCACGGGGGCACAAGGAGAGAGAGTATAAACTCACGTCGTCCTCGTAGTAGACTCTTCGGACCGGGAAGAAGAATCTGCCGGGGAGTCGCGTCCTGTCGTCGGGTGTCGGCCGGCCGCGCGTCACTGGCAACCGGTTGTTGGCGCGTGCCGTGTTCAGCCAGGATTGGAATTCCGGGGCGTCGATGCTCGCCAGCTCGACCTCGCTCAGCCAGAGGCGGTACGTGTCCGGGCCCAGGAGGTTCGCCATCTGTTCCAGCCAATCGAGGAAGCCCTGGGGGATATGATGCTTGTTTATTGGAGCTTTTGCTCGACATTTATTTACAAAGTCACATTTTTGGGTTGTTAAATCAAGTTTGTTGATTTTCATAGTTTCGGTGTACCTATAGTGGCACATCATGTCGCCAAGGCAAGTACAACCGGGATAGCAAAAATTAATTTTTGTTTATTTTTTTAAAAGCGCATCTTCATAACGCGCAAACTAAACAAATAAAATGTTTATGCAAAGAAAAAAATATAGTGACAATTTTCATACTCTTGAACTTGAGAAATTTTTTCACTTGATAATATCAGGTAAAAGCTGTGGCAAAATACGTGATTAAAACAAATTTACGAAAAAAAATTTTTTTTAAATGAATTTAAAATTATATTAGTTGCAACAAGCACTACGTATGCAAGCTTGATTTCAATGATGATTTAAATCGAGTCACTTGTTGATTATTTTCGGGTCTTTTGGGTATTTGTAATAAATTATTTTGAATCCACTGATATCGTACAGTAAGAAATTCTCATGGCACGGCGAAATCCAAGGAAAAAAGGCACGATGTAAATTATTCACCATCCCAAAGGTATAACTGTCCACTCAAAAGTCTATATGGAAATGATCGTTTCATCGTACAGTATAGATCAATAACGACAGCGTCCTGTCACGTAAACTAACGCTAAAGGGTTTTTTCATTGTTCCAAAAGGACCACATGGAATGCCCTCAAAGTAATTACTATACGCTCTTTCTCTTGTTTTTTTTTTTATCTCGATCATCACTCGCGCACAAAGGAATGACAAAAATACCTCGTAGTCCTGGCTGGTCTTGGCCCTGTCGATCCAATAACGGACGGCCTCGGCGCCGGCTTTCCATCTCAAATAGGTCAGCCAAGCTGATTCGCCTGCCGGTGATGCCCCGCTGCTCCTCGTCTTGGTCGCCTTTGTCGCAGCTGCCATAGTCGTCGTCGTCGTCATCGTAGTCGTCGTCGTTGTCGTTGTTGTTATTGTTATTGTTGTTGTTGTTGGGGGTACGGTCGTGGTGGGGTAGCTTGGACTCTTGTGACCAAGCCAATCTCGAGTCCTACGGGAGAGGTTCATCTGTATTTGCGAGATTGGCTGAGGAGTACAGCTATTGGAACAAGGGGAGCCTGGTGTTCAAGTGTACGAGCAATCCCACGAAAAGTAACTCCATTTTGTTTTATTTTTTTCATTTTTAACATTTTCAGAATTTTTATCTATTTTTCTTTTTTTTTTACTTTTATCAATAAGTTTTTGGGGAGGAAAAAAAAATTCATCCCTAAACTCCATTGTTTGTTTACCAATTTCTTTAATGTTTAAGGATTTCTTCTTATCCTTTTAAGCACGCCAAATATGGGAATTTCTATTCCACCGACAATGCCTCGAAAATCAATGTTTTTGCGACCCCAGGATATTTTATTGAAATTTATCCACTTCTTACTAGCGAAATCAAATTTTCTTTGGGATAAATCCAATAGTTCAATAGACGTGACTATTATGTCAGCAACAATCCACACATAAAATTTTTCACGTTTACTTGATATTTCCCGAAAAATTCTGTTTTGTCTCTATCAAACACCCAAATCTAGATCCAAGCGCTACCTTAAAAATGTATGCAACAGACCAAATGGAGCGGCAAAATACTCACGGCCTCGTTTCGCTGAAAATCTCGTCCGCTTTCATCTGAAAAGAATAAAACACGAATATTCTGTACTTTACGTGTTTGTAGAACCGTTCACGTAGAATTTCGTTGAAAGAAACTCTTTCAAAAAAAAAAAGAAAAAAAAAAACTTTTCTCCCGAAGTTCAAAAGCTCCCGACCCAAGACTTTGTACTCCCTCCGAATTTCCTAGCAATCGCAGGTCTCTGGTAAAGTACAACCTAGAAAAGTATGTGGCAAGTTTTTCGAGCGGATGTAAAAACAAAGCTTCTTTGCATGTTGTTACCAAAACACTATAGCCATTCTTTCCTTCCGATGTATACTGACAAGCACGAAACGCATTGGTGTTGAAAAAAAAGCCTCGCGCAGCGTTACTAGTTTCGCACATAGCGTTGAAAAATCACTTGCGCTCTTTATTTGCAGTATTTCTGTTATAAAAATTTAAAAATAACCAAAACAAGTCGTCATACCGGCATTTTCCATACGGTGGGTCACATTACACGCGTATCCTTACCCTTATCACTAAATTAAGCAAAAAAACTCCCCCGACCACCCCCTCGGGAGGTGGTGCTTTAATTGTTCGGCTTTTAATTAAAACAAAGGCTAATTGCGTGTTTCCCGCGCTTATCAAGCGAACGAGAGCCCCCTCCCCCCTCCCAATTGAGCAAAGCCTTAGGCAAGACCAACCAAAAAAAAAAAAAAAACACCCTTTCCCTCCACGCGCCTCGTTAAACAGCCGAGCGCACCCAATCGACCCACAATCGAGCTTAACGAGTGCCCATTCGCAACGCCTATACCCGCCCCACTTGCGCTCAAACAACAGCCCCTTTTTTTTCCTATACATGCCTGCACAGCATCTCTGGCAAGAGCGGCGCTGTCCAAGAGGGTAGCCGGCAGGAGTATCGATTCCCGGCAGGACCTCACGATCCTGCACTCGGCCTCCTGTCCGTTGGCGAGGTCGTAGTTGCAGGCGCCTGAGTTCGCGTGGTCGATCACGCAGTCCTGGCTCGTCGGGCAGATCCAGCCGCGGCAGCGGTCATCCTGGTGATCCTGGTGCCGCGGTCGGAGGCTCGGCGACGAGTCTGCGTTGCTGTCGTCGACTGCGGGAATCGAGGTGAGATTTTGTTTTATATTTTTTTTTATAGAAAGGTATAAAAGTGGGCAGAGGTGATGGGCAATTTCTCACTGAAATCCGTAATCTCGAGGCAGTCCGGTACGTGGTCGCAGGGGGGCACCGTGCACCGGGGGGGTGGTCTGCGTAGGAAACAGTTGTGCTCCGATTGGCAGCCCAATTTCCGGCACCTGTCGAACCACCTGGCAACGTCTGTTTTCGCACGCACATAACATGTATACGATTATATGGTCCATGTGTGCGCGTGTGCGGGAAAAGGAGGAGCATACCTCGGTCACGGGCACAGCTTTTGGTGAGCTTGCAAGGAGGCCGGTAGCAGTGGATCTCCCTGAGGACGCAGCGATAGCTCGAGGGACACACGACGTCGGCGCAACTGGCCGGGCCCTCCTCGTACTCACGCTCCGTTACGCATCGCGCTGTTCGCTGTTTGCACTCTTGAGATGGGATGCGGATGTACGACACACGACAGTACGAGCAATTTTACGAAAAATGAAATACTTTTTTTTTTCTACGAAATTTTTAGATCTAATTTTTTTTTTTTTTTTTCCGCCATTTCATCGGAACACCGATTGAAACCATATTTTTTTAGATAATCTGTGAGGGTGTGTAGTGGTAATGGAAAAATGCTACTCCCAAACCCCAACGTGAATTTGGCGTCCCAATTACAAGCTTACAACTGATTACACCCATAGTCTACATTTTCCTCAAAATAATGTTATATTTTTGTGTCTGTATATGGTTGTAATTTTTTTGCAAAAGGGCTTTTTATTATCCCCCAGTTAAATTGTTTTTTTTTTTTTTTTTTTTTTTTTTTTCATTTTCGAGTATTTGTTCTGTCGTAATGAAACTCTGATAATAAAGCCATCTGTATAACTGACTGTACACCCACAACGGACGAGCATAAAATTTTTCCCTTAAAAAGGAGCAAAAAATGCTTTACAGCTTTTTTATTTGCAGTTATAAACTTATGGACATTACATTTGCCCATTTCTTCATTTTTTTTCTTGAAAATTCGACGAACAGAGATACCAAAGAATCGTGAAAAACAATCCAGCTCTTTGTGTGCACACCCACCGACTCAGCCTCGTAATCATTCCCAACTAAATTAAATACATGAAAAGCAGCTGTGCTGAATTTTTCAAAATCACATGAACAAATAACCTTTGGAGGGTGGGAGGGGAGGAGAGAAAAAAAAAGAAATAAAATCGACTTTCGCGCACTGCCAGACTGTGAAATTCATATTTACTTTTGTTCCACTCGCAATCCCGAACACGAACGAGACATTTGTATCCCGGGGCGCACACGACAGACTCGCAAGTTTCCGGTCCCTTCAGTAGTTCTGCAAAAGAGCAAACAAATTCACTTTACAGTAAAAAAAAAAAAAAGGCAAATAAGCATACTCATAAAGTTTTCTCTTCCTTCTACGTGAAAAAAAAAGGAAAGAAAAAAAAAACGCAGATATAAATAAACAAAAGCTTGGGGGCTCCAACCTTTTCTCGATTTTGAGCAGTAGGTCATGTTTGGACAGGGCGGGCGGGTGCACCAGAATTTTCGGCTCACGCATTGCTCGCCTATCCTACAGGTCACCTGGTCGCAGGCCCGCGAGTACTCGGCGCTCGTCCCTTTGTATTAAATAAAAAAAATAATAAATAGTCAAGTTGACAACTCTGTAGCACTATTTCACACACAACGCCAGGTTGAGATGAACGTCGAGAAAAAACCTTTCTTCTTAAAAACTACTATTTTACAAAAAAAAAAAAAAAAAAAAAAAACAACAACAACAACTAAAAATCACATTTCCCTTTTTGCAGGAAGCACGCACGTGTGCACTGATGAATCGATCGATCAAACACTCGTTGTTTTCCTCCCTCCACGGCCCAAATGCAGCGGCATTTCAAGCCAAAGAGAGCCGGAAAGAGAGGGGGGGGGTAAAAATACACGTCTCACAAAACTCGGCATTGTTTACAAAGGTGGAGGAAGAGGCACCGCTGCGTCAGAGCCAGAGGCCGCCAATCCAATTATACGATACGACGGGCGCGACTGGCGCAGCTCCAAGGACTCACCAGCGACGTATGGATTTTCCAGGAGGACGTGAAGTAGCAGCAACAGCAACAGCGGCGGTCGTCGTGGCCGGGACTTCCGATGCATGTCGAAAGACGACTGGGAGATCCGTGCTGAGACCGCGAGCTCGGCGACGCGCGTGTTTATAAACAACAGAGGTGTCTTCCTTCGATTCTTCTTCCGTCGCGCCTTTGGCACGATTACTCACTCGCGAGCTTACCGATCGATTGCGCGCTAGTACATGATGCGCGAATCAGGAATTTTCGTTGTATCGGATTTCCCTTTTTTTTTTTACCCCCGCTGTACGGCTACCGTTGGCTCATCACGTTGGCAGAGTTTATTGGATAACATTTTTGGTTTTTTTTTTTTTTTTTTTTTTTTTTTTTTTTTCGTTAATGCACGTACGCAGACTATTTTTTTTTTTTTTGCAAAAAGCGGGATTGCAGTGTCCACGCTCCGCTGATGTAACAATACAATGGAACTGGAAGATGACAAGGGATACTTACCCCTTCAATTGAAAATGAAATAAAAACGTAAGTGGATATACGCATGTCTATTGCCATTTTTGTGACTTACAGTATTGCCACGAATTTTTTTAAGTTACTCTCAACATTGACAATAATTCGATTTCAAACAACGTGTTAGCATCGAACCACATTATACACAGAACAATCCGTTAACAATAAATAAAGCTCACTGAAAAAAAAAAAAAAAAAAGGAATGATCCACCAAAGTCCTGAAAACCCTTTCAAAAGCCTTTATTGTCCTACGTTTTCCCGATAGTTGGGAAAGCACTACACTTCCAAACTACCCCTATACATCACGCAGTTAAAACCCTAAAAGGATCCCCCGGCCGAAAGAAGCTGTACCAGTGTATTTCATCCTCGTGCAAAGCCGTAAAGGCCCGAAACTCGGGCTCGTAAACGGGAAAAAGCATCTTTGTTCGGTCGGAGAATGCACATATACATATATATGTAATACCTATGTACACACGTAAGGGCTTGCTTTACAACAAACTGTGTACTGCTTGTCGGGCTTATCGCGATGGAGCTGTGTGTACAAACGTTAATGCCAGCCTGCACAAGACGCGGCCAATAATCTTGTAATCGGCGAACGCTCGAGGCACCATCCAGTGGGGACTATTGGCGCACTAGCGTCACGGTGATTCATCGCCGGATTAGTCGAGCGCTTGGGTGAAGATGATGATGATGGCGATTCACACACCGTTTGCGCACTAGATGGTCTCTATAAACAGTCCGAATGGATTTGGGATGTCTGTAGATGACTTTGGAAGCTGACCTTAATATCAGCTCGAGTCTTGGATGGCTCGGAAATCTTTTAGAGGCTTCAAACGACTTAGAGGTATTTTCGAGACTCGTTTGAAGGGTGCCCAGGCCTTTGGGATGTTTCGATCTTACTCGATGGTAAAAAATCAATGGATAATCATTGTACTCTGAGAGCCGCGTTACTTTTTACACGCAAAGTAAAGATGTTACTTTCAGTCTGTGGTCCATTGGAATTTCGTTGAATCCAACGGAGAATTGAAATTTATGTATTTGGGTTGCCTATAAAAGTCACGGTGAAAGACATATACCCACCACCGCTACCGATTTAATTTGTATCGGTCAAATCAAACAAGCGAAATCCAATGCTAAGCGAGACGAATGGATTTTCCCAGGCTGTCCCCCGAGAAAGAGATACGTATAAATAATCTGCTCGAAGCTCACTCGGTTTTATGCATTACTCGGTTAATCCTGTATTCCCAGAAAGTGTCGGCACCGATTTCTTCACCAGTGAAATACGTTTATCGATTTTATTTGCTATACAGCTAATTCACCTTTCCAACCCTGACTTGATTAAGTTACCCCCCACCCTGTACATTTGAATAATCGGTTGGATAATCTTGGCTTTGTTTGCTTTTTTCAAGTACTTTCTCGCATATTTTAAGATTCTTTTTCAATGCAAATATAGATATATAACGTTTTTTATTTCTTTTTCTTTTTTTTTTTTTTTCATCACAAAATTAAGCAATGAATATACAAGTAACGCGTCCAAGCATGCGCAAATGTACAACCTTGAAATGTACATCTCGAAAATTGCACCAAGCATGGGTATTCTATAAATATTTTATTTAACTCATCAACACACACTATACTCTTACAAAACGCTAAATTGAAAGAACCCAATAATAGAATAAGAAAGCTCAAAAAAAAAAAAAAAAAAAAAAAAAAAAAAAAGGTAAGGGGACGAATAATTTTTTTTTCTTCCGCCGATCGTCCATTCATTTCCACAAAAATCCTCTCCCTGGGTCGAAACAGTATCACGCGCTGGCTTCGTCGACCCGCAGCTGGTACAGCCCGGCCAGAGCTCCGGTAAACCCGGCGTTGTAGTCGAGCGTGACCTCCGTGTAGATAAAGTCCTCGCGCTTGTCGTAGAAGCAGTCGATCTCGTCCGGGCCCGAGACCAGGGCGCCCACCAGGACTTGGGGGTTTGGCGCGTTGCGGTCGTACTCGGACCACCCGCAGGGCGTCGGTCGATCCGGGCACGAGGAAGCTGCGTGATGGGGCTGCTGTGGCGGGTCCCGGCCCCAACCGACGACGAAACTGCGACCTGTGGATGACAATGTTTATTATTGGCTTTGTTGTTTATAATCCATGAAAAATCGTACTCTTGTATATTTTACTGAAAAAAAAATGCGTGTAACGCAGAGAGAGGCTGTGTGTACCAGACCAGACCCCCGAAACACGTGCACGCAGCCAACGGGAGGGCGAGCAAGCCAATTACACCGGGAGGGCGCAGGTGTTTCGGCGCCTCGGAAAGCCACCACGAGCTTGCATAAACAAGCAAACACCGTTGGGCGCGCGCGTACGCGTGGAAGGGTGTGATGAAATAACCTGTGCTGCCGAGCATGTAGTCTATCTGCTGCTTGGCAAAGCTACGGTACTCCTGGGGGTCGCCCATGTTCGGGTGATCGGCGGCCTGGAGGCACACAAAGGCCACGTTCGCCGCGTGGCCGAGAGTACCGACTTTGCCGATGTACAGCAGGCCTTTGGGGGTGCGCTTTTGCTCCCGCACTGAATAATCGCAAAAGCCCCGCGCTGCCTTCTGGTACTCCGATTGGCCGGTCAGTTGGGCCAACAGCACCTGGATTTGCATCATGATTTTTTACATCATACATTTTTAAAATAATTGCTTTTTCTTTGGTATGCAAAATAACACTGCCATACGAGATCAACAATTACAATGTTCACACAAATACGCATCACGATTCGAGAAGAAAATTCCAAGGATTTCCTCGGGGCGTCCCGTAAAAGAGAGAAATCTCAAACCTTTCCCATTGAATCGGGAGTACTTCTAGACTTCCGGGTTATTTTGTAATTAAAAGAAGAAAAAAAAGAAAAAAAAGTGTACACCACACCAGCTCGAACAAAGACTCGCACGCACCTGTACCCCAGCCACCTTGTTGTTGTAATAGAACTCGTTGGGCCTGGAGCCGAGGCGAAAGTGCCTGTAATGGTCCACGGCGAGCTCGAGGTAGTTGGTGTCGTTGGTGGCCTTGTACAGCCAAAGCGCGGCCCAAGCGAGCTCGTCCCCGTACTCGGTGCTCTCGTAAAACTGGGCCGCGCCCTTGATCGCCTCGTGGTACAGCCCGCGGTGCGTGACTGCGAACGAGTACAGTCGACGCGCGTGCCCCAGGAGTTTTTCGCTGTAGGGCCCATCGGTGGCCCGAAAAAGGATGCTGCTCGCGGCCAAGGCTGCCGCCGTCTCACCCGCCAACTCCGACCCTAACGTAATCCGCGGAGAATAAATAAAACGAGGGGGCGCATCGCGTGTCTTACCACACACGACTGTATCTACTTGCCCGGAACAATTTAGCCGGACGTACACAGACTCCGTTACTACTGCCACTGCCAATTGGTGGACTACCATTACTTGGAGATTGTGCAAAGTCCGACTAAATTGTAGAAAGTTAGTAAAAAAAAAGTTACTTGCTCCCTTATACTCGATGAAACGAGTGAATAGTGGGAAAAAAAAGAAATGATCGAGACGATGGGCCGATCACCCGTAAGCCCCACCTGGATGCTCGGCGTCGATCTTGTAAGCCGGCCTGGTGCCGTTGAGCTCCTCCGGTCTGCCCCAGTATAGGTGATCAACGTCGAAATCGCCGACCTGCCCGTACAGCACGTCATCGCTCACGTGGCACTTGACGAAGTAGTCCGTCGCCCATTTGACGGCCGCGCGGATCGCCTCCAGCTGGTGGGCCCTCTCGTAAGCCCCCGGCCAGCTGATGGCACCCCACGCGAGCAGCGTCGTCGTCGAGGCCATCGTAAAGCCAAACTTGACAAAGTCACCAGCTTAAGCGTGCATGAAACAATAAACAACTAGTCATTACTTGTACACAGCGTTTTCACATTGTTGGTGAAGTAAAGGCACCCACGGCGCGAATTTTCAACCAATCGACGAGGTATTCTTGCCTCATTTACGTCCGCACCTCGATGTACGGGTTGTTGGAGAGATGCAGTGGCGTATAATAATTGAGTCGGATGCCCGCGAGCTTTGTTTGTTTTTTGTTTTTTTTTCCACACGCGCCGCTCCAACAAAGAATGTTTTTCGGATTAATCGAGGTGTTATTCACTCGTGGCTGGTTATTCCTGTACTGAAAATAAACTCAATGGTACGGTGGTTGATTTCATTTGCTTTGAAATAGACGCGGAAAGTAAAACAACGGGAGGCTCGAAAAATACGCGGATTGCCAAACAGTTTCGGCTCGCGGTAACGAAGACCGACTTGGCTAATCGAATAAAATGGTTTTTGAAAAATTGATGCTCAGCTTAGCCTCGATTCTCGTAACTTACACTCTCCCCCCTTGGGAGGCTATGATTTTTTTCGAGACCCGATACACACGCAGATGAACACTGTATGACGCGAGTATTTTCACAGTAAAGCTTTTGCCAAATAGTCCCCGGTCCCAGCTTTTTCATCAATTATTCGCAATATTTAAAAAAACTTGAAAAATGTACAATAACGTTATCCTCAAGATCCATGAAATATAAAAACCTGTGTCTGATGGATAAACTTGAAAAAAAAGGAAAAAGGACAAAGCAGAAAAAGCCCAGCTCACCATCGTAGTAGCCACCGGTGAGGTCCTCGCCGTTGTCACCGCGGTCGTTGAGGCCCGAGTCACCGCGCCAGGGTATGCGATTGTCAGGCGTGAGTTTACCCGAACGCTGTGCCTCGTAGAACATCAGTGACATCCCGAGTACAGTCGCGTAGTCGTTATTCTCATTTTCGATCGGCTTGTGTGTGATGGGACTGGCCGCTGGGGCCGTCAATTTGTTAAGTACTGAGGCCAGGCCTGTGCCGATTATCATCACCAGCCACTGTTGTTGTAAATAAAAACATTTTTTTCCATTTATTATGATAAAGGGCGGGGCACTGCGTTAAAGTATAATGCGATAAGTGTCCCCAATAGTTTTGTACAATTTTACAATCTATTGGTATGCAAACTGCATGAATTCCTGGACAATCTCTAATCTCTTATCAATATCGATGCACGTTTTATTTTTAATTCCCCTCTGTTTTTTAACTTTTGCAAAAAGGAGGATTATCATAGGGTGTTCATTAAAATTAATCTCACCTCGTTTCCAATCCAACCTTTTCAACAAAGGAATTGTTTAGTTAAAAGTAAGCAACTACGAATTTTATGTTTATCGTGTCGGGCGTGCTAAATATGTGCCGAACGATTGCAAGTAAATTCTTCAACCACATGTAATTGAAAGTATACATTATACACGTACTCGCTGGCACTCGAGAGGCGACGAAGAATTATTTTTCACGCAGTGCAGGCCATTGCGATTCAGTATATGTGAATTATGTACAAAATACGCGAAAGATAAAAAAAAAAAAAAAAAACCTCACCCAATAAACATACTAAAAAGGTCAAGAAAAAGGAAACAAATGCACGCATACGAGCAATATTTGCAAAGCCTATGTCAGCTTTTGTCTCACACGCCCGCGTATGGGAAAGAGAGCTATACGGGAGATGATTATGTTTTCCGGGAAGCCAAAAAGGACATGTGTAAGTAAACGAGAGAAAAAAAAAAGAAAGGAGCGACTGGTGTGCGAAAAAAGAAAGTAGACACACATATTATACGCGCGGACGCCCGCGTTCGTTATGCGATGGCGTGACGGCGGCCTACAGGCTCGTGTATGTATACACATGTAGGCATATCTATCTTACATTATACAGCTCGTTACACGTCTATTGTGTTTTACGAGGAGAAACATCGTGCAAACGATCTTTTATGTAATGGGCTGGTAACATAATACACGTACGTGGTATAAATATATCACATACGGTGTGGATGCGCGTGTCGCCTCCCATTACCCATGTAATAGCAACGGCAATGATGTTTCAATTATTTCTCCGCTCCGTGCACGTATACGTATACAACCACCATGTATTGTATACGTGTCACGGTACGCAACCAAATCGATCCATCTGTATTAGAAAACGATAAGATATAACGGCGTATGTAATATTTTCATAAACCTATACGCAAGCGTGACCATCAGCCGTATTTTTACTCGATAAATATATCGATGGTGCACTTACTCGCGTAGCGGAGGACGCGGTGTCCCTTGGGCTACTCTATGGGTAAGCACAGGGTATACTCTTGATACGACGCAGCTCTTGCGTCAACACACGGGACGCCGTTATGAAGTCAGCGAAACGAAAATTCTTTCCTAGACCATGAAAGATTCACGATACCGGCGTCGCGAAGACCGAGGGGGAGGACCTTTGTTGCCCGGAGGATGAAAGTCCGCGCTATTTTCCGAGAAATGAGAATCAATGTCGAGCTATCGATCCTCCGCTGTAATCGATCGGGAGAAGAAAAATTGAAGTGAGGGGGTCGCGTGGGTCTCTTGTCGGTATGTAAGGTGGTCTTTTATTGGATGAATTTCGTCCCGCAACGTCGCGATATTAACAAAGTTCGCCTCTTAAATATACGCGCTTCGGTACAGCACAGCCGAGGAGAATCAAATTTTTTTTTCCTTCACCCCCTACGATAATCCGTTATTGGCTCGGGGGGAAATAAAAACCTTGTACTCGCGAAAGTACGGTTAACCCTCGGATTTTTCCATCAGCGAGGAGGAGAGAACAAAACAAACGTAACAATAGTATATAGTTTGATTCTTAATTTTCCCCCATGATATCGCGTAGCTGGAAGGCATTGAAGGTACATGGTTAGCGTGAATCGTTCCATAAAAATGGAAACGGAGGCCAATTCGAGGGACGAACGATGGGGTGCCATTACGTAACCACGCACAATTAGAGCCGAACCCGGAAGGAACGAAAAAAAAAGTAAAAACAGTAGTACTTCAATCACTTTTACGCGATAAATAACCGCAAGTTCGAAAGAAATTACCGAGAGAGAGAGAGACGCGCTCGTCCATAATAATTAGCGCTCTAATGGAGCGGGTTAGCCTGCTTCGCAATAATGGCCTTCCCGTAGAAAACACGGGTGCAGAATGTGAGAGGCTCGTGGGTGGAGAAATACAAAACCCAATCAAGCTGGAAAAAAGTTATCCACTCGCCGTGTAGCCCTCCTTCCTTTGTTCGGAACTTTGGCGGGCGAGTGCGCCTGTATAACTCACCGTGGCGCAGGTGACGGTGGCTCTCATTTTGTTGATCCTCGGTGCAAAAATTTCCTTGGTCTTTTTGTCATGCAGTGCGGGATGCGACGACGCATCTCTTGGAGTCCCTGGGAAATAAGAAAATAAAATAAATAAATAGGAGCGCGAGGTAGCGTGAATTCGATTGTGAAAAGTTGCCCTAGCTGCTCTTCGAGGAGTTGCCGAGGGTGGAAAAGTTCCTCGGGAATTGCGGAAGCGATTGTTCATGCTCGGTCGAGTGTGTATACATAAAGGTTTTTTTTTTTTCACTTCAAGCTCGTTGATCCTTTGTTTTTTTTTTCCCCCTCGATAAAAAGTTTTTGTCGTCGACAAAGTTGAAATAACCATCCGTACATAAGCATCGTTCGATTGGTTTTTTTTTTCGATGCGATGTTTTTGAAAAGGCGCTGTTTATACGCCGCTTCCGTAAACAGTGCGTCGGTTTGGTCGAAAAAATAAATACCGGAGTGACCTTGTCTCTCGACGTTTGATCGAGTAGGTATTTATTTCAACTGCACATTCGTTTTACGGTTATTTGGTCGAAGCATCGATGCTTTATTTGTCAATTTCCGAAAGAAGGATTATCTCGTGATCCCCGATGTATCGCATAGTCCCGATGAAATGTTTATTCAACAAATGGAAATTCTCTCAATTATCATCGATTATGGAAATTGATTGGTTCGCAATCTACATGATACACATATCATGTCCATTTAATTTTCAAAGTAAATACAAACAATTTCATGCTTCCTTGAGCGCTCATTTTGTTGAAAAAAAAGTTTGATAATCTCAGAAAATTATTTAATCAATATTTTTTTTACGATTCATGTACTAATGTATTATACCCGTGATTCAGTGTTACAACTCACTTCGTGTAGTTGCATGTGTTTGATCTACCAGAAAAATCTAATTATCATTTCTTAAAAATCTTTTACTTGCTGCGCATTGTACGAAAAATCATAACTGTAAGCTCAAGACTGAACAGTGATCAATAAAGATGATAATATTTTTCGAAGGATACTTGTACCGACTCGCGCAGTCCACCATTTTCACACATGTTATACCGTTTTTGCAATGATGTTTCATGTAATAATGAACGCCCCACGTACGAAAACTTGTTTGTAACATCTACTAGATTAAAAAAATAATTTTGTTTTATCAATCACCAGACCACAACATAAAATTATGTACAGTTCCAAAAACAAGCATTAAAAAAGCCCAACCGTCCCTCCTTATCGCTGCAAAGTTTGAGAAATTTTCGTTTCCACCATGACAATTTTCATCGCTCCGTGTAGGTATGAACAACGAAAGCAAGCGCTGCCATCCGGGACACGCCAACGCCAACACAGGCTCGCCTCGCACGTACTCCTCCCATACAACCATACTGAACGAACGCGCCAAAGGACGCGGCAGGAATAACAAATTCTCTTACGAGTCGCCCTTCGCCCGGTGAAGCTGTCGTTGCTGTCTCGAGGAAAATAAGGAGAAGAAGGAATAATCCAGCACCGACCGGCGTCTTACTCTTGCACTTTTGCACACGTATATCCTGTCATTTATTTTTTCCCCTCTTGTATCTCCTGAATTTCAAGCGAATTTTTCACAAAAACTACTAATAAAGATGCCGATTTTTCATACCGATTTACCGATAAAATCACAGACGACTCGATTTCTTTTTAATTCACTATTAGTACAGTAGCTACACGACACGTTGAAAGAAAAAAGAAACCCAGCATCGAGATGACGACCCGATCGATCGGCCGATCGATAAACCGCGTGTGCGCCCGCGCTCCTGCGAGCCGGTCGGGCAGAGGCATACTTTGCGCTCACGCGCATACGCACATCCGAGGTGTACTCGAGGCGGCAACGGAGGGTGGGAGAAAAGTAAGGAGGCTCTGCGAGACGTGTATCGGGGGGAGGGAGGACTGTGTACCACGTATGACTCGAGGAAGCGCGACTGTGCTGGAAGTGGGTGGGAGACGGATCGACTCTGATGTCTCTTCGGATCGAGGTGGAGGAAAAAGACGGTCCTATGGACGGTATTGATTGCTTTACGTTTTTATTGTTTCTCGGTGCATATATAATCAAGCGGTTCGATCGATCACACTTTTGATATACTGTAAGCGCTACTGTATTATAAGTGCATATGGAATAGCAACATGGTAGATTAAATCAACATTGCAGCAATCGTTGGAGTTTGGTACTCGACAGATGCACCTTAATGGTGTTTGCAATCTATATACAACTGTTTGGATTCCAACTAAAATTCCTCGTTCCTCAAATACTTGTGGGATTATTCCTCGCATTTCCGTATACTTTTGTGCTGATTTGATCAAAAGAGAACTCGTGATTACAATACTTGGTTAATAACCGACGTTTCGAAGAAAGATGACAAAGTACCTACATCACATGGATAAATTATTCTCGTTGATGTTTTTTGCATACCAAATATAAAAAAAAAAAAAAAAAAAAAAAGAAAACGGGAGTTACGCAATTTTTCATTAGCGATCTTCCCTCCAAGATCATAAGCCAATAATCGGGCCACTGTTCCCTACAGCGCACGTAAGGCTATTAATATCGGAACCACACGTAATTCAACCTAATGAACGCGTCTCTCGTATACGACCGGCGCAGGTGAAACACATCGACCGACGGCCTACGCCCCTCTATAGCTCTCCGCTCTACCACTTATCCTATTAATTTACTGCGATTATTCCGCATTAGCCCTCCCACCCCTGCCTATTGTACGTACATATATATATATATACACACTTCACAGCCTCCACGCGCGAATCCATCGATTTTCCTCTCGACTCCATTGAAAGTGCATGAGCGCGAGGAAGAGTGCTGCATATGTGGTGTACACGTGTGGCCGAGCTTTTAAGTGCATGCACGATGCTTGACCGATTGTTTCACCGGATGAACGATCTCGTGTGTTGGCTTGGCGCATGGCTCGAATAATAATCGAGTGAATTCTCTTGCGTGTGTGTTGATGTCGTTTCCGAATATATATGCGAATACTTTAATTAGCTACAGCTTTTATTTGTGTCCATCAACATACATACGCATCTCACAGTGAAGTTCGATACTGTATACATAGCGTTGATTGTATATAGATCGGCACTTGATGATTACAGTCCATCACGTTGATGCATCGGCAAGGAGAGTTGTTGGGACGTATAAATCCATCAGCGCATCGAGAACAACTTTCCAACGAACGTCCCAATTGAGAAAGTGATCGAATGAAAAAGATAGCGCCCCCAATTTATTGACGCCGGAAGGATTGGATTATATATACAAACACAAAGTTTGGGCGCATAAATCAGATGTTGGAAAGGCTGAATGTACTGAATTACTGACTCACAACGTCTCGTTTTCTCAGAGAACCTGGATAATTTCTTGTGTTAGTTTTTTGATACGTTTCCTTTGATTAATTTTTAAATATTGAATCACAACTCAAATATCTCTTTTTTACAAAATAATATATTTAAACAAATTATAAAGCAAACAACTTAGCTTTACAATGTATTTATAATGAAAAATATGTGCCAAATCACCACAGCAAAATGAAAAAAAAATCTAACAATTGTTTACTTACGAGTGGGTTTGAAAAGGAAAGCATGAAAATAAGGTTATGAAGAAAGAATTATTACTGAAAGAGCATGTAAAACTTGTATATTTTGGAATAAAAACTCGTGGTCCTGTTTGATCAGGAAAAAAAGAAACGTGTAAGTATCCAACCTGGATGTTCGGCTGAGCCAAAGGCTCCGAATCGGGCCGTCGCCCTTACGAAATGTGTAAGAACAAATACTCGTGAGAACTGATGTTCTATAAACTTTGAACTCGTGAACTCGGATTTTTTTTAATATTCTCGTGTCACCCTTTTTGCTGTGTCTGTCGTATGTTATTACCCTTTTTGCCTTGAAGAAATTGCTCACGGAAAAATACTTATGGCTGCGAAAAAAACTAGCAAAGACAGAAAGAACAGCAGCAGGAAAGCGCCCACATCGATGGCAACCTCAAAAGCTGAAGGAAGGAGACGTTGGTGCTGCGCGTTTCTTGATGGTAGGTCAAGGAGTGAGTAGAAAAAAATGTGTGAATTGAAGGTTACGGCAACTAGCGAAAAAAAACTGCAAACCGGTCAAGAAGACGGTGCGAGAAAAATTGTTTTTTCGCGTTGGCAAGGTGACGCTCGCACATTCGAACAACAGCTGAAAATCTGCTGCCCTTTCTTCTTTTTTTTCGAACGCTATCGGCTGATTCGATACCGATACCGTTGGATATCAGCCTCTTTATATTTTTTCGTTAAATACGAAACATGTACCGAACCCCATCTCGTTTCTCGTCTCGATCGCACGAGCACCAAATGTCCCTTTTTGATCAAAGTTATCCACATCGTGCAAATGACAAAAGACGTGGAAATAAAAATCAAGACAGTAAAAAAGAAACGCCTGCCCCTTCACTTGGAAATCGGTAGCAGAGACATATCTTGAGCAATAAAAATTACGATCGAAAGACACCCTCTATCTGTAACGATCGCATAATGGCTCGAATGTGCGTATACACGTGCGCACGTATAAACGTATGCGACAGACAGGATATGTTACGCAATTCATATTTTAACACTTACTTACCTACTTGCACACACAAACAGAGCATCTCTCTCTACCTCGTATATATTTTCACCTGCTGCGCTCACATGTATACATATAACTGATGCTCCGACGTCTTTACCTCTTCCCTTTTGCGGAGTACTCGTGTGCCACTGTCCTGCGTACAATGCACGTGTAATTGTTTATCTGCATCTATACTTACCCAAGTGCACGAATAATTTACACTCGCAGGTAAACTACCTGTATAGGTGCACGCAAAAGAGCGATCAATGGTACGGGAATTTCGATTGGATGAGTATTAGATTTAAAAAGTATAGTTGGGCAAAGGCTTAGTCGATGAATTAGCGATGTAAAAACGCGATCACAAGGATGAAAACTTGATTTGATTTTTAAGATTGCAGTGGTCTCATTGTACACGATTGTTTGGATACATCACGCATGGTGATCGTATTTTTGTAGTTGATATTTATATTTCAATGAATCAATGCACTCGATGGGTCATTGCTCTGCAGCTTGTAATCATGTCCCTTGACGAATGCAATTTGGTAATTTATTGAAAAAGTTTTGCCAACTTATATAATACGCGTTTTTTGCGCGAATTTAATAACGATCAATTTATCAATTACGAACTTCTAGTTTTATAAGATTTTTTCTTATGTATACACCACATTAGATTAAATTATTCGCTTTTAATATATAAACACGTATATTATATATTTGTCAATACTTAGTTTACAAAACCATTTACAAAAGGTGAAAAAAACGTACGTTCCCACGCAGCTTAAACCGAAAGTCAGATCGTGCCTTTACAGTGGTTTATAATAATACTTCATATTGTACAAAAAGAAACTTTTTTTTTATCTACAATCAATATAGAACCACCACAAAAGATGAGAAAAAAAATAAATAAAAAAAACTGCGCCCGTGGACTTTTCGTACTTATAATGTAAAAATAGGAGTTATAAATGATGTAAAAGAAGCTAGTGCTGTAAGATCCTTAGAGTTTCTCTGTCTCTCTCTCTAATCGATGGTCAGTTGTCTGAACGAGCCGTCCAGGCCAAAGAGATCGTCGTGGGTTCTCGGTTTCCCGGGTCGTAGGTTCTCGTTGGCTTTCACGGACTCCTGCTCCTTGAACCACGGCCCGTACTCCTCCAGCTTTTTCAGCCAAGTTTCTGCAACAAACAGACAAAGAGAAATAATTTTATATTTTAGATTTTTTGTTATTTACAACGTAGTTTCTTGAAAACAATGAAAAAAATTGTAGTCCAATGGTGAAAAAAAAAAAAAAAAAAAAACGCACCATGAATATTTTGGATAGGTCCAGCCTGTCCACCGTACTCCTCGGGCAGTATCTCCCTAGGGACGTACTCGTACAGCTTGTCCAAATTGCCGTGCACGTGTATCCTGTTTCGTATCTTCTCCTTGAGGAAGGGCTTGACGAAATTGACGATGGTATCGACAACGGGACTGACGTTGATAACGTGGACCTCCTTGAGCTTGACCGGGTAGGCCTCCTGGACGCAGACCAGGAATTTCTTGACGAGGGCGGGCGTGAATTTGGAAAAGTTGGCGGGTGTCGCGACGGTGGCGTCGAGCACGTACACGTCCCCGGCTACTCCCACGAGTTCCTCCTTCAGCCGAATGTCGCCTATCATCATGACCAGCTTCATTGCGTCGGCCACGTTCGTCGCCGTGATGTCCTTGTCGACACCGCGCATCACGATCACACGGCGGCCGTTCCTGGTCAGCCCTGGTAGTGGTGGTACTTGGCTGTGCCGGTGATTTTTCATTTGTTTCTTTTATTTTTTTTATTTTTTATTTTTATTTTTTTTTTTATTTTGCGTTGTTACTTTAACAGAAAAGTCGGGAGCGTCACGGCGCCCACGGTAGCTCGAGTGCGTGTGGTGTCCGTTCGTCTTCTCCCGCGCGGGACAGGAAGGAAGCCCGAACCGCTGTATATACATATAGGTAGCGGGGGATGATGGTGATGACCAGGTCCCTCTCTCTCTCGTACACTTTATTTTATTTTNAATTGTGTTGTCACTTTATAAAATAATTGAATGAAATTTCAAAACGTACGAGGAGAAAAATTTTTAATAGTAAAACATTCCAAATTTGGTAAAAATTAAATATAAAATAGCTTTTAAATACACAGGTTACAATTGTTTCAGAGGGAGGGGTTTTAAAAATAAGTAACAGTAAGAAATGGGAAGGTAAAAGCTCTGTGACAATCGATTGGCAGTGGTTTTTTAAATAAATTTTCCAATGTACCTTTACGTGTACACGTGGGTAACTATTTTTTTTTCTTCCTTTTTTTTTAAGCATATTGATTAGCAATTATCCACTGACGCACTCGACAACGATGAAATATGAATTAGCACGGCTCGTACAAATTTTTTCACGCTCAATAATGGACGACGGAGACCACGAATTAAATGTAAATTAAACACGTTGACGATTCGTCGAAGGACCTTGCAGTAAAAAAAAAAAAATAAACATAAAAGGGAAGAGGCTGTATACAACATTCTCGAGTCGTAAGCTGTTCCAGAAGCTCTCTTTTTTCATCGCAATTGTTTTTACAATGACTTTCTTTACGGCCGAGCCCCACCGCGTTATTCACCGGAACGTCCCCATCAAATGCTTCACGACCAATGAAAATGATAGCCCACTTCTGCGTACGTGTAAACCATACCTCCAGCAAGAAATAGATTTTCATGACAAAAAAAAAAAAAAAAACAAAAAAAACAAAACAAAAGAACTCACATAATTTTGGTGATCTCCCGCATTTCGGGTCTGGTGATGTCGCGGTTCGAGAAAAAATCGGGAGCCAGTCCGCGCATCGTGAAGTACATGTCTAGTTTCCTTTTGCACTTTTCGAGGGAGAACTTGCATCCTCTCAGGAACGTCATCAGCCTGTAGTCGTCTGCCATCGAAACGAATATGGGTTTATCATCAGAGGAAGAATGTGCGCGTCCCAGACTCACGATTATTTTGCTTACCATCGAAGCTCGGCAGGTGCGGCTGCTTGGAGAGCCACTCTTTGATGTACTGCAAGTCCTTTTCGCGCGTGTCGACGTTCTCGTTGAGCTCCACGCGGATCAGCTTGGACATCTCCTCCGTTGGTTGAATCAGCAACATCTGCAATTCAATAAGCGAGTCAGGATTCATTCAAAATCGCCTTTTAAAATAATTTCTTATGTGATCAATTGTGTTCTAACATTCCGTAATCGAGTAGAAATTTTTTTTTTTTTTTTTTCGTCACCATCTCATTTTACCATAAAACATACCTAAATGCAAAAGTTTTTATGTTTGAATGAAAATTAGTGCTCGGGTAGAGTATCGTTTAAAGTAACAAACAAGTATTACGAATTTCACACAAAATTTATCATGTTTAATATTCAAACATAGTCAATACAATTGAAAGGTAATGTGACTTATTCACAATACATGTGCTTGAATATATTAATATTAACAATTTAAAACTATAACAGCCAATATCATTTGTGACTGTAAAATTAACTATTTTCAACAGATTTTCAAATTTTAGACAGAAAAATGTTGTTTAAAAATTAAAAGTTAATTTTTATTATTGTTATAAGCAAAATTTATATTAAAAAAAGCTATAGTAAATATAGGAATACTCTTGTCCAGTAAAATTAGTGTATTACACCGTTAGAGAAAAAAAGTAAACTTTTATTGAACATCACATTAAATTTCACCCGAGACGTTTTAAAAACTCATAAAATATTAGTGCTCCTCACTGGAGCAAGTCGAAACTTTTGCCATATATGTGTTTTAATCCCCATATACGATGAAAGAACCCATCGCTGTTTTAATAGCCCGTAATAAAGTATTTTCGAAGCACCAATAAAAACGATAAAACCTTAATAATTGATAAATTTCAACTGGCTATGCCTAGTAGTGTTTGTAATTTAAAAATAAAACGAATCGACTGATGTGCCACAACGGTATATGGAGCTTGCGTCGATAAAAGTGCTACATATAGTATACGCACCGCAGTTTACACGCGTTGTACGCGATAACGCAAGTACAAATGGTGCGCGGGCAACAACTTTTCCGAGCTACCGAATCGATAAATGGACTCTTCAAACGAGCGTTAAATCATTTCCATCGCGTTAATGTCGGCTCTAATGTCAATGTCGATGCGATAAATGCAAAACCATCGACTTCGGGTAAACTGCCCACCGATGCACCCGAGCACGTTGGTGAAGGAAAAAAAAAAGAAAAAAAAAAAAAAAAAATGGATCGATAAACCTGCGTAAATAAGTTAAATACTTGTCGCGAACAAATGTTTACACGCGCGCAAGCAAACGAGAGGAGGGAGAAAAAAAAGTTAATAAGTGAAATCGAGTAGTCGTTACGAGTTGTCGTCGTTATCGATCCCTCCACATAAAACCACTTGACCCTGTCCGCAAGCACGCAATAGACCGGACTCCGATTTTTTTTTTTTTTTTTGCGGATGTTCAAGTATTCGGTGTAGTCTTCTCGTTCTCCTGCAGCACCAACTTTTATCATTTTATGCTTGTAAACACATACATACGCACTCACCTACATACATGCAAAAGTACTCTCGAAAGAGTCGTCATTATACGGAAAAATAAATTGCAAAGCCTGCACTCGTCGAAAGTTTGTTTTGGCCGGTGTTTCTTCTGCTTTAGCAACGAGGACGTCCCTAATGACGCGAAACGTGGATACACCTACGCTATACGACTATCATTATTCGTCCGTAAACGAGTATCGAAAGCACGTGAGTGCAACTCTGAGACCTTACAGTGTATAGCACGACTCGAAATAGACGAGACCTTTCGTGTGAGGAGCTCGTCAATTTGTCGGCTGATCAATGTCGCCCGAAGCCTTGAACTACTGCAGTGTCTTTTAACTGTGTGCTGCGAATTTTATTGAATTTCACGTACCTACGTGTGTTTTGAAGATGCACGCTTTTTAATAAAACCGCGTAGAGACGCTTTTTGGTCTTTTGAACCGTGGAGATCTTTGATATGCGCTTTTAAATTAAATATAACTCTAGAACTGCACTGTAGCATTATATAATTACAAATAATAATATTATACACGTCTACATTTAATGAGCAAGTTTGCATTGATTTTAATGAAAAAAAAAAAAAAAAAAAAATCGTTAGCACTCGACCCTACGACTTTTAAGTTTTGTATCACCACGACGCTACAACGATCGCTTGTATTCTTTAATGTTAAAATAGTTGCGAGTCATAACTACCTTTCTTATGTCTCGATAATAATATTAAATTAGGGTTTGGTAACGGAAGAATGTACATATGCATTCGAGCGTTGTCCCGAGAACTAATCAATGGGCTGTTTAAATTTATTCCAATGTTTGCTATTCGTGACTATGACAATTTGTCCTGGAAACGAGCTAATGTTAAATTGATATTTGGATGTACGTAAGTTACACCAACTACCGCACGTCTCTACTGTAGAAGAGAAAAATAATCGTAGTCACATTTCGCATGAACTTCTCAGTTGAGTGAGTGATCCGTCGAGTTCAGCTTGCAATATTTTACAATACTCATCTGGTTTTTGCTTGAAAATAAGAAATGTCTCATTTGTAAATTAAGCCAATTCTGAAACGACATACTCGTTAAAATTTTAATCTTAATGATTCTAAATTCTATGTACACGCTCATGTCAATACTTTTTGTCGATTAAAAAAAAAAAAAAAAAAAAAAAACACGGTCCATTTACCAAGGAGTCGAAAGACTCCCATGTACCGCTGATGTAAATCTTCCGACTTTGAGTTTGTAAAACTATTTGATAGTTACAATTCCTAATGATCCTTTTTTTTTTTTAATCATATTTCACGTAACATTGACAAAAAAAGCACTGCACGTTCTGAGAACTTTTTTTTCCGTTCACAGTGTGGAAATTAGACGTAATTACGAATGGTTTTTACGTACACGCGTCAATGAAAGAAAACATACACGTCTCCAATTGCTTTTGCACTTGAAAAAACCCCAACTCATTCATGCACAGCGGGAAAATAATTTTTCTTTACCTTAATAAAATAACACAAGTATGCGGGACAAAGGAACCTCTATCCACGCCACGGAATTGCACAAAACTAGCCAGCCATTGCCCAACTTGACTCTCTTTAAAATACCCAAGTGGGAAAAAAAAAAGGAAAAGAAACGAGTTGTAATGTATATATGTTATACGCTCAAACTCGCGATTCCAAGTTATTTCATAGACACACGCGCGATGTCGAAAACGCCATAAGTGCAGCCACACGCGCGGCAAATAATTGCGTAACGCAAATTCGTGTGCTATATATAACTGTTGTGTGTAAACTTGCACAGCTCGCTCTCCCCGCTCGATCGGATCGCGATATCGTAAACACAGCGGCAAGTAAGTATATAAGTACACACGCTTGATGGATTTCGGAGGCTGCATGGGAATCGTGACTTTCTCCTCGGCCCGCAGCATACACGTATATCTATATGGCTGATGGAGCGAGGGCACGTGTACATATATATACATTTACGGGTTGTACATCAGGGTATACAAAGTATTTTGGCGTGTCGTTTGAATTCGCCACTTTCACCGTGACCTGCGGGTCGTTGCACACACACACATATATATACACAATCTAAGGCCGCTTGTACCGTTGTTGTTTTAGTTTTGGTTTTTCGGTCTGGTTCAAGGGAAGAAAGTCGCGGATTTCGCGGTTGGATGGCTGCGTCGCGCTTAAATGGAGCTATCGTAACGGCTTCTGGTTTTTTTTTTTTTTTTTTATTTTCCTTCGTTTCCGCGGGTACAATGACGGAAAAACGCCGATTGCATCAATGCACCGTATCGTTTGCGATCTGTGTACTCTATAAAGCGCGAATATCGTTGGGTATACGTACGGTTGTTTCGCTGCCGCGAAAATTACGATAGACGGCGGGTTAGGGCTGTTATGAAATTCATTGCGCTGATGAACTTTTTTTTTTTTTTTTTGTTTCAACACTGTACGCTTTGAGTATTTTTCCTGTATAGTTTTGCCGGTCGAGTCGAGGAGAAAGTTTTTACGATCAAGGTCCTCGATGACGGTAGCGAACCGATTGTCTGGTTGAGCGTGGAATCGATTACTGCGTTTGTACCTTTGTTCATGCCGAATCGGCGAAATCTATGTTTAGCAGATTACTTTTCCGAGCGATCATTATAATTTTATCCCTCGTGTTAAACTCTATTGTACTTAGAAAACGCATCCCATCCTTGTTAATAAAGAACATTGCAGTTCCTCGAATGCAGCCGTAGTACCCGGGCAAAAGAAAATGTTCGACTCACGTATTTTAGCTTTCAGGTTCATCGCATGAACATATTATCAATTCAGTAGTTTCACATCATCCTTTCCGGCTGCCTTACAGCTATTAGCGCGCTTTTTCGCATACCTATAGTCGTGTCTTACGACTTGAACTTCCCTTTTATTTTCGATCATTATAATCAGGTTCACTGTTTTCCGATTGACGAAAAAACTTAGCAAACAACAGCACTGACATTACATGAAATGGCAAGGCACTTCATATATTGGCACGAGTGCAATTGCTCGCTATCCTAACGTGTATCGGGAAGATTACAGTTTGTGGCCTGCCAACTCGGCGCCTTGAATTCTTTACCGACCAGCTCCGCATCCACGGGGAGCTGCACCGTTACGAAGCCAGGGACCCCACACCCCCCCTCCCTGGCTCCGATACTACCAACTCGGGTTGTGAAGAATCATCAACCCCCCCGCAGGGGATCCGGTCACCGTCACCCTCAAGATGCATAATATGCACCGAGGTATGAACTTTGGGATAGCGGAGAGTTAATAGTAGGGGTGGATAAATCGTTATTATAAAGTGTAGACGAAGTAAGTACTTGTGGGTTGTACGTAGAACACGTGGCGCCACGTAGCGGTGAAAATCGGTACCGAGCTGTACAACCCCTCCCGGCGGGAGGCTCCCGCCCCTCTGACGGGACTATTTAAAAAATACTTATAGAAAATTAAATATAAAATAGCTTTTAAATACACAGGTTACAATTGTTTCAGAGGGAGGGGTTTTAAAAATAAGTAACAGTAAGAAATGGGAAGGTAAAAGCTCTGTGACAATCGATTGGCAGTGGTTTTTTAAATAAATTTTCCAATGTACCTTTACGTGTACACGTGGGTAACTATTTTTTTTTCTTCCTTTTTTTTTAAGCATATTGATTAGCAATTATCCACTGACGCACTCGACAACGATGAAATATGAATTAGCACGGCTCGTACAAATTTTTTCACGCTCAATAATGGACGACGGAGACCACGAATTAAATGTAAATTAAACACGTTGACGATTCGTCGAAGGACCTTGCAGTAAAAAAAAAAAAATAAACATAAAAGGGAAGAGGCTGTATACAACATTCTCGAGTCGTAAGCTGTTCCAGAAGCTCTCTTTTTTCATCGCAATTGTTTTTACAATGACTTTCTTTACGGCCGAGCCCCACCGCGTTATTCACCGGAACGTCCCCATCAAATGCTTCACGACCAATGAAAATGATAGCCCACTTCTGCGTACGTGTAAACCATACCTCCAGCAAGAAATAGATTTTCATGACAAAAAAAAAAAAAAAAAAANGAGCTGTACAACCCCTCCCGGCGGGAGGCTCCCGCCCCTCTGACGGGACTATTTAAAAAATACTTATAGAATAGTATATATATATAGTACATATTGAAAAAAAATTCGACTCATATCATAGTGCATCTCGTACTTTACTCCTAGTTATTGTTATCAGGATGTTCGACGGGACAATGCGCGATAGGCAAGTTGAACGGAAGGAGCTGCTTTACGTTACGTTGTACACAATGCTCAATTATACTTTTATATGTTTAGGAAAAGCATCCCATTATTATTAAAAAAAATTGTTGGTTTGCGTTGCAAAGTCTCTCGTACATTTGTACTTGATCCGATAAGTTTAAATCCATATTGTTAAGGGAGGTTGGTATAAAGTGTCGCTAAATTTTGTTTTGAAGAAAAAAAAATCTTATTTTTCAACTGCAACATTTTAATAGAACATATACCTAATGCCTCTGATTTTTTCCAAGTGTCAGCCTTGAACGAATTACCGAGGAAATTTCTAATCCCGCGTCGAGGAAGCAAATCGTAATGGTTGCCTTTATTTTGCACAACCTAGTAGTTCCATGAATTTTCTTAAGTTTATACCTAACAGTGTGTAAAGATAATGTATTTGTAAGTTTTGCTGATTTTGTAACATGAAAATGTATTATTTGTGTACATGTCTTTTGGCATGTCTTTTTTACAACTTCAATAAATCCTCGGCTAGGTATGTATTTACTGAAGACAATGCGGTAATAGGTAATAACGATCATTTTGCAACTTTTTTGCATTAATAAAAAGTACTTAAGTATCTCATGAATTTTCCAAATCAGTTAACAAAATTTTCATGCCATTATAAATAGTAGAAAAAAAAAAAAAAAAATCCATGATCAACTACTACGATGGATACTATTTTTACTCTCAGAACAGTCGTTTTGAGTCGATTCATTTGAAGAAACAATTGCTCAATTGAGTATAACTGACGTCATGTGTTTGATATTCAAAACTTTATCGTATAGGTATATATTGTATAAGAGATAACGATTTAAACTACACGTGCTATTTTGACACACTTGGATCCACAGTCTCTGCAGTTGAAGAACAAAATGTAGGTCGCATGACTCTTTGGAGACAAAAATATGATGCAACTTTGTCATTTGCAAAAAATTTACATAAAACGCGAATCCATCGTCGGAATTTTTAAAATTCACTCGCACGCAACCTTACGTCCACTTTCGTTATTTCACAGAGTGCGTAAGTACCCCCACCTTATTTTGTTTATTTTTTACGCAAGTTGAAACTTTTTTCAAACTTTAGTTTCATTCGGTACGTAGAAACGTTCATGTATTGGCTACAAAAAGCAGATAAGATAAGAAACGGTCGTTCACGTTTTCAACACACCTTGATATAGACCGAAAAAAAAAAAAAAATAAATAAAAAAGAGAGAAAAGACTTAATCTCAATGCACACGCAGCGATAAAAGCGCTCGATGATTCAACTTGCCACATTTAATCGACGAAAATATTACTCTCCCGCCACCACAACGGCGCAACCGAAGCGTTATCCGATTATTCAAGGATGGCAATGTTTCGAGAACCGCGAGGTGCATGTATACGCTCGCGCGAGTTGAGCCAAAAGTGTAGCTGTTGCATCGAGACCGGAGACTCTCTCTTTCGCTGCTTGGGACTCACCTTGGCCCGCGTGTGGCGACTACACTTTCGATTTCCAGTATAGGTAGTGTGGGCTCGAGCGGCGAAATCGACGGCTATGTGGGGCCCGGTTGTGAGGTGTGCGCGCGTGTCGATGTGAACCAGCTTCTTTCCACGGGAACTGGCGAGCGAGAACTGTGAGGTAGCGGGTGAAAAACTCCCAAATGGACTCTCGGTGGCCCCGACACCTGTGCGCTATAGGGGGGCCCGCGCGGCCGAGAGTGGGAAAGCTCGCCCGAGCTCATGGACCGGTTTCATCCCCACCTATACGTCTCTTTTTCTCTCTCGTTTCTTTTCGCTGCCCCCTCGGACCTACGAGGTGAAAACTCCCTTTCCCCTTTTTCTCACATTATTTGGATTAGTCAGCACTGTGATGATTGTTGTAAAAATCTGGTTTTTTTTCCCTGGAAATGAACATAGATGGCGTTTTGTTTCTAGTTAGCGATGAAGGTGTGATTGTTAACTATCGATATATAACTAGCTTAGGTACTTTCCATTGTTTATAAAAGTATGTGTTATACCGACGGATTGTCAATATTGATGACACCAACATAATTTTAATCCTCAGTTGTAAACACACCGAAATACATTTGTTTATGTACACGCAAGCATTTTTTCCCATGAATGCTGAACATAACTAAACAAAAGTTATTTTTTCGATTGAAGATTTTATTTACTTTTTTATCACGCGATTAATGTAATTGTTACTTAGGAAAAAAGAATAACCGATCATATTACACCATTTGTTGTTTTTTTTAATTTACATACTTACAGTTTAAAATAAAAAATATCTTCAAGCAAGATAGAGATATTTTTGTTTTCGACGATGGTTATCGAGATTGAGTGAATTGCACAGACATTACAATCGGTAATTTGGAGTTTGCTTGTAAGTATAGTGCTTTTAGTCATTGCGAGCCAAGCGTCTCCAAGTGCTTCGTAAATTAAATTGATTCTTGATGAATCGTATACGTTTTATCGTCAAGATCTTTGAGATGATGAATCTAATAAATTGGCAACCCGCAAAATCATGGCCTTACATTATCATCCAGATGTGACATTCTGTAGAATTTATTTATTTATTTACTTATCTTCCTCACAATTGTAAAATGTTGAGTCCAAGTATGGGAAGTTTTCAAAAAAAAACAGAGCACTAAAAATAATAAAATAAAGTACGCGGGTGTACAGCCGATGATATCTTTACTTTTACCAAACTTGTTTGATCAGTGAAGTTTTGAAAACTCCGTGAGTCACTGCACTTGTACGTAACAAGTATACCACCACACGCTTACGTTTCCATCAAAATGAAAGTAAAGTTTTATACTGCGTTTTATTTTTTAAAGGAGTTTGTGAAACAAGACTCAGTTGCTATCTGTACTTTTGAAATATTTTTTCCCTCGTTGCACCATTTTATGAATCGTTGTTTTTTATTGCTCGGAAAGAGTCAGAAAGTTTACAAACTACATTTCACGAAATTCGAACAAAACGATAGAGACAAGTTTTACTGGGGAGTTTATTAGCGATAGCCTGCAGAATATTTTTTTATTTTTTTATGAGACGAACAGTAATTGCACTAAACAAAAAAAAATTTCTCTGTATTCTCCTGATAAAAAGATATTTTTTTTACTAAGATTATTTTCTTATTAAAAATAAATTTTTCTTAATGTAGGAAAACATGATATTATTTGCTTGGAACAACTCCGACGAATATTTCCTTGATTCTGAGAAAACTTTTTTCAGCGTGGAATTTCAGTTTATAATTGCAGATGTGTCAAAAAAGTATGACACCATGTAATAAAAACCATCAGGCTTAGTGGAAAAAAATTTATTGTTATTGTTGGCTCAAACTGGTTTTGAACAATAAAAATAACTTTTTACTGAAAATTGCCTTTTGCAATCACTCGTACATTGTATTTCAATATAAATGTTTTAGAAGCCGTAAAAATGTAATTAATTTGAATGAACATGTTTTTATAAGTTTTCATTAAAATTATCTACTCGTGAACATCGATGGTGCACTGTTATTTTGGTAACCCAGAGTTTATTTTTATATTCAAATTGCATGAAAATGAGTTTTGAAAATTGCGCGTAAAGTACACCTGTACGCAACTTTTTTACCTCCCCAGCTTCCAATTTCAAAGCCCACTGCTCCTACTGCTATACTCCGTTGTGGCAGTGCACTGTTTCTTCTTTTTTTTCTCTAACTTTTTTTTTAATTTTTTTTTTATTGAACCTCACGCAATCAAAAGCGAGTCGAGCGCGTCTCTCGAAATAACACACACCGCTGACTCGGCAAAGTTGCGAAAAGGGTACCAACACATAACGTATACATGTATTTATATTATTATATCGTTGTTCTGGTGTACTATGTAATTATACACACAATAGTAGGTACATGTACATGCATGTATGATACACAATGTACGGCGACTTGCAATTACACAGAGCCGAAATTGCTTCTCTAATTCACTCTGTGCTAGCAAAGAAGTTTATTATGCATTATTAAAGCTAAAACGGGTGACAAAGATACTTTTTCTCGTGAGTCCGAAAATAGGTGGATAGGGGTAATGTTTTTTTAATTTACGATCAAACGGCTATGGCCCGCTCGAATGATTAAACACGAGCGAGAGCGCGTCAAGTATATATTTCGAAAACCGCGATTTGTAATTAATTTTACAGTGCCGCGCGAAGAAAGTTAACGGGAGTCGTTTATGTGTATATATCAAGTCGCGCGGGAGCGCGAGATATGTATACGATGCGAAACGAGTCAGCGGAGCAGAACCGATACCGAGCAAGTATCGTAACTTGGGATTGCGTTCGATGGTGCCCAGTAAATGTGTTAACAGTTGGAATAAATATTCGTTTTATTGTTTAGTAGATCTTGCAGGATACATGGAAAAGTTGTGCAATGCGTTAATTAGAGTAAAATTGAAAAAAAAAAAAAAAAAACAAATTAAATTATGAAACTTGGAACCATGAGAAGGTAAAAAATATTTATAAGTAAGCTAACACGAGGATCACGAGTGCTGAGAGGATCCTGCTGGAGTGGGTGTTGCAAATTTGAGAATTGGCCACTTGGGAGATTTGAAAAAGCAGATTGGTTCCACAAATGGATCCGTTGCTCTGAAAAGAAAAAAATTTTAGTTTCTAAGATAAAAAAATTCGATACGTTGGTGGTCAAAAGATGGTAGTTACCTTGTGTTCGACGACACTGTCCTTAGTTTCATCAACACGTGGGATAGATACCTGTGAATGTAATTACGAAAATTTGTCCACAAAATTCACTTTCGATTGATAAAGTATCGACTCGTGAACTTTTAATGACCTTTTCTTCGATACTCCCGTTGTTAATGAAAGAAACTTTAAGTACGGTAGTAGCAGTCGTTGGTGCGGGGCTCGTAGTCGCGTCAGTTTTGTTTGCCGGAAATTCCTAAAGTGCCAAGCATTTATTATTTCAACAGTTTTAATTTAACACAAGTAAAAATGTACCGATGAATCGACCCTACCTCCAGTTTTGCTGTCACGTTTGTTGAGGATTCCTTGAAAGAAAGTAACGCATTAATCCAACGCATTGGATAAAAAAAGTAAAAATATAATCCTTGGTCTGATATTTCAAACCATATTGACTTCAGTTGTAGCGCTTGTGCTTGGAGAAGGCTCAGTTGATTTCACGGCTGCAGTTGTGAAAGATTCCTGAAAAAAAAAAAAAAAAAAAAAAAAGACAACACGTACTTTTCTGGATCGACTCAGTGTAATAGTGCGTATATATGGTAGTCTAAATAATTCAAACCGTTTCAATTGCCGTAGTTGCGTTATTCAAAGATTCCTGGAAATAATAGCTCTGAGTAAATTGAAAGGAAACACACAAACATGTACTTAAAAAAAATCGATACCACCTTGATTCCCGTGCTCGCGTTTGTAGAGGGGCTATCGTTAATGGTGGTCGACGAAGACACAAGCTCCTACAGAAAAATAGTCGTAAAAATACCATGTGGATTTTCCTTGTCAAAAAAAAAAAAAAAAATTCTCAGCTCATGTGACAGAATAACAATGATAGTTTTGATAGAGCCCAGAAGCACCCCATCCGATCAATCGAACACCCTCCACTCACCTCGACGCCCTCCTCCATCCGCTGGTCCCGCGCCGATCTCACGCGAGCAGGCACCTCGTCGTAAACAAAAATCGGCTCCAGGGCGGCTGTCCCGCCGGCGCTGCACTCCCCTTCGGTACACGTGCTCCAGTCGCTGCTCTCGAGGATGCCTCGGATGACGTTTGGTACATCAGCCAGCCGGACCGACCTAGCCACATCGAGCAGCCGCTCCGAGCCAGGACCCCTCGTGTACAACCACACACTCGAGCCATCGTGCGGGCACGTCCCCACCACCACCACCAGGGTGTTTGGCTGCTCGATCACCTGGGTTTTTTTTTTTCCATGATCGTATAAATTGTGGAGCGAAACCCTGAACAAAAAAAAACACTCGCGGGAGCTAACCTCGTCGAGGAAGGCGCCGGGCAGGTCGTCGAGGTCGGGCGAGGCGACGACGACGCAGCCGCGCTCGTTGGGTTCGGCGGCGAGCTCGTCAAAGACCCTGCCGGCCAGTTTCTGGAAGTTGGACCGGCGCAGGGAGGCCCGGTGCTCGAGCCGGGAGGTCCTGGTGCCGCCGAGGAGGCCGCGAGCAAAGTTTTCCCGCAGTCGCGTCAGTAGGTCGGCGACGCGCCAGAGCTCGTCGTCGGGGCTGGCTACTTTTGGGGGAGGGGTGGGACAATCACGATATATCATTTGGGTGGACGTTAGCGGTCGTTCGACCTAACCTGCGGCGTCGCCGGCGATCGAGGCTGTTTCCTGGAGACTCGCGAAGGCCGGGGTGTCGAAGGGGCTCTGGCTCAGCAAGACCGCGGGCATCTCGTACATGACACCTGCGAAGCCAACAGGATTATCTCCAAAACGCTCCCGAGGGCTGTGGGAAAGTTGCGCTTACTCGTCGACATGGCCCTCTGGTGCTGGGCCCACGACAGTAGGGACATCACGTTGGTTCGCAGCTGAGAACTACAGTCACACACGGGGCGCCTCGCTTCGACGATGGACTCTCTGGGACAGCTCTGAAGCAAACTCGGGTTTTTGCTTCGTTAACGAGCGAAGAGAAAGAAAAAAAAAAGTTAGGTTATGTTCGACCTAACCTCCAAAAGGATCCTCGAGGGGAATTTGGTTTGCAGGTGCTCGGGTGGAGGATGAAAAACCGGTGCCAGCCGGTCTTTGGGAGCATCGACGATCAGGAGAATCACGTTTCGGGGCTTCTCGTTGCGCCCCGTCGGAAAGGACTCGGTGGTTCTCACCTCGTTCCGGGACTCCCCCATCAGGTCGATGGTGAAGTTTTCTATCTGGGTCTCGGCGTCGTCCGAGGGGGATCTACATATTAAATTGGCAATTGTTTGTTCGTAAAACGTAGGACTAAAAAAAAGCAAGGGATTCCCAGTTGCGACGGAGGAGGTAACTGCGTGAACTTCTAACCTCATTTCTCGCAGGGTAGCCGGCTCCGTCGTCCCGTTCTCGTTACCCAGCGAAGGCTGGTTTTTTACTGAAACTTCCATCCGAGCGTCCACTCTCGGGGTCAACCGGGGTATCCAGCTCCATTCTAGGGGGGCGCGAATCAAGCTTTTGGGTTAGTTTTTCCACACTTGAGAGGTAAAAGTTTTTAATTCGATGGTTACCCGATCGATTAGCAGTGAAGCCGAGGCTGATCGAAACCACGCTGCACAAGCCGATCAGCACGAGAATTTTGTCGATTCGCATGATTCGCGAATAATGGTGATGCTTGCGTTATGAATAAATGTATACTTATGTAATGTGTGTCGCAACCTATGAGTTTCAACAAAAAAAGCTCCTGACGCTAGTCATGCAAAACTACAACTGATCTGCGGGTACGTGAAAACAAAAACATGTTGCTTGGCGATAATTAGCGATGGGTCGAACAAAAGACAAGCGGCTACCTACATATATGAGCACGGATCGAATTGGCAATTGTTATTTCAACAGTTTGAGCAAATGTCGATGATCGTAGCATACCCATATGTTCATATTGCAAGGTATATAGGATGTTTCGTAAAATAAAAACATATCGATGACAATGGCCGTGTAAGTGCTCGGTCTAGCTGGTTCAGAGGGTATCGTATGGATAGACCCACAGGGGAGAGGAGCATGATCGATCGGTATACGCGTGTCACGATACACGGGTTATTGCACGGGGTGATGATTGACAGGCTCGTTAGCACCAGGCATTCATAACGATCCTGTTACGGTTAAGGAGCGTGAACAACACGATCGGTATTGAGCTTACGCGCGCGTGTGCGTACTCGAGCGAGTTTCGACAATCCATACATAACGACTCCGACTCGATTAGTAGGTGGTCAAGGGTCGACATACCGGTTCACATGTGTACGTGCGTATAACGCAGAATGAGAGGCTCGTATTTTTCAGCCACTTTACCCCATTCGAACTTGTGTATACACGTGTCACGGGTCGCTGATTGTGGAACAAGGGGCATCATGGGTCGAGTCTGGTGCTATTTTGAAGGAGCTAGTCTCCGTGTAAAGGCTTGCTTTTCTTTCGATCGGTTGTCCTTACGCTTTATTCAAAGACTCTCTATTGCCACGACTAAAGCCAGCCGATGCACGTGGGGTATAGGTGCGCGTGTATACACGGGCAGGTGAAAAATAGCCCGATGAGTGTATATACGGTCATGTACACCCTGACTTGGGTACGATTATTTTGTAAATTTTTTCACACTCTATACAAAACATGCTGTGTTTCCGAATAAAGAGCATTTTGTTTACTAAAGAAAAAATAAAAAAATGTTTCAAACATCACCATACTCACAAGACGAAATTAGAAAAACTCATTGTTTTTTGTTCCAGTCCACATGAAATACTTACATACTTTTTCAAATGGTCTAACTCTTTAATTTTTTTTTCTCCTCTAATCGTCATGCATCGTTATTGTTGGTAACAAATTTCGTCAAGTACTGTATTATAAAAAGTATTAAAAAAAAATTAATATTTTTTTTTAAATCATCAATAAAATATTAAATTATTTGCATTCAAAAATTATATTGCAAGAAAAAAATTGGAAAATTATCCGCGTCCAAGTCCGATTCTGAATCACGATCGTTCTTGGTTTACAGAAAAAGCTCATGGAAGTGAGAAAAATTCATTGAATGATCTGCCGAGGACTCCAAGCATGAGATGCAGGGATGGTACAAAAGCATTGTTCTATCAACACCGCTATTTAACAAAGTAAACAAAATGAAATTTTCATTCCAAAAATTATACGACAATTCAAGGTTCCTTTCGTGTGTGTCATGCGCGCCAAAAATCGAAAAAAAGCGCGTGCACGGATCGGTTTCTCACCCCCCCCCCCTGCATACCCTCCTATACGACGCGTGATATAGCCACTCGAGTGGCTTCCCCTCCGTAGTTTACTTATACACAGGCATGAATAATTGAGCCCCGAGGCCGATTCGCCGGCGACGATTGGTCCACGTTAGGGTCCGCTCGGCCACTGGACTTACACACCGCACCTACACACACACGCGCGCGTCCAGTCCAAGGGAGGTAAGAAACAATATGAACGCGAGGGGGGCTACTTGTCATGCACACGTGCCCACCCTCCTCGAGCGCTTTCGTGCGTCCATAGACGTCGTGGCGAGTCGTTGCCGATTCATGGGCCGAGAAACGCTCAGTGCTCTTTTGTCTTTCGTGCTCACCACCAACTTATCATCAACAAACACCGTATAGATTCGACACATTCCCGACGGCCAGTTGGTTCTTTGGGGGTTGATTTGTCGCGGCGCGCGTGTTTCGGACGCGCTGGGACTTCCGATCTCTGGTGGCGATTTTTCCTGGGACGCAGTGGACCGCTGAGCGGGAAAGGCTCTCAAGGTAGGTGATCGGCGGACGTGGTGGAGAAAGGCTCTTGGGAAGTGCGATGGTTTCTCGGAGGAAGGACCTGTTGCGTCCACTTTGCGGTCCCCCGTGGTGCGCGTGCGAGTGATTTTTGTGGCGCTCGGGGTATTTTTCTTGGCTCGTGCGGGTCGACCGGCGCTTTTTGTGTGCACATCGTTGGGTCAGCGTAAGGGAGAGTCTTTTTCATACATACATGTTTTCTGTCACCCTCTGCTTTCAAGTTGGCAGCTATTGTTCAATTGTTTAATAGAAGTGCGTATGGGCGAAACCGCCAAGGGATTTTTTAGAAGCGTTGAGAAATAATATTGTATGTTAGGGTGGCTGTCACTAATTAATGGCGATTTTTTTTCGATTGAATATCCAAACAAAACCTATTGTTTTATATCACGAAGTTCAGATACTTTAAGATCATGGGGGAGGTGACTCGAGATTTGTTCATTTTATATTTTTCCAACTGAAAAAAGTATACTCTGATAAAGATTTTCAATTTATTTTAAAAGTGCTGTTGGTAAACTTGATTTTTGTAACGATAAATTATTAGATTTGTATTATTACGCCCATCGACGCATAATGACGTGATAATATATTTATAGCATAAAATATATTTTAAGCAACGTTCAAAGTACATTTTTTATTGTTTGAAATAAAAATGTAATAATTAATATCACCTTGGCATTGGAAAACAAACATTTCTGGAAAATTAATTTAAAAAGGCTTTTTTGTGAAAATTATACACAGAAACGTATTTTACGCGTCGATGATGGTGAAAAAAATGTTTTTTTATTTTTTATTTTTTATCCGAAAGCCGACTGGCTTAAAAACTATTGCGGACATGATAAAAATATATTCATTCTAACGAAAATACAAACACACGAAGAGTTGCACTGAACTGTAAGTTACACGCGATTCAAACTTTATTTTCTAATTGTCTGGGATGTCGTATATAAAAAAAACATTTTTTATCGCTAAAAGGTATCATTATTTAAAGTCTGAATGTTAAAACCTGACGAAGGTGTTTTTACTGTTTTATAATTGCAGCTTTTATCGATCAATTAAATTAAACGCCACGTGTATAAGGTTATGAACAAAAAAATTTATTTTTGCACTTACAAATGTCACGAACATACGGAACGTCTTGTTCTTACCCTTACTTTAAACATAGTCACTTAGAGTCACATAGAAGTCACTTTACTATCAAACAAATTTCCCAAACAACAATTTTGTTCAGTGAAAATTTTTGAAAATATTTATCTTACGTATGTACAATTTTATAATCTAATGGACTTTGCAAAACTTTTTTTATAAAAAAAAAAAAAAATGAACAAATAAACGATCTTAAGACAATGCATTTTATGGGTCAACGTAATCAAAAATTTCGCCTAATGTCGCAGTAATTTTTATAATATGAACTGTGCAAAAAAAAAAAAATTATATTATTCTTAAAAATTTAATACCCGAGTTCGATCGCCTCGAGTTCTACGATCGCAGTTAGACTCAACTTAACAAAGCTTATATACCCTCGTCATGTTCGTGAAGGACTTGATATTCAACACTAGAAGGTCACATAGAGTTTTGATGACGGCGTCTAATGCTTTACCGAGTCATAATATTTCATTACCCAAGTTTGGAATTTAGAACTGTTTGCGTCACTCGTGTGTTAACCATAATTGGACAAGATGGTCTAATCGATGCGTCCGAAAAGATTTCTTCTTTTTTTCATAATAAGCGATTTTTAAATTTCAACTTTTGAAGAGTGCCCAAGACGATGATGAAAAAGTTTACCAATTAATATCGATATAATATATGCACCATCGAAGAGTTTTTTTAACAAATTTTAATTTAACGTTATCACTCGCTTAAATCTCATTACAAACTTGTCAATGTATTCGCAATGCAGCTTAAATTACGTTCCCGTTAATGTATGAAATATTTATACAACAAGTTAATACACATATCTAGAACTTAGAAAAACACATCTGTTAAAGCTAGTGAGTTCTATATCAACTTTGTAACTTATGTTTGGACATGGCATTTAAAGTGAAATCAATAATTAAATTAAGTATTAATTTACGTCGTCGGTATAAGTAGTAGGTGAAATCAACGTTAATTACGCCTACGTGTCCTTAAATTATATTTTGTTTTCTTTGTACTGTAGAAATCGATTACTTGTTTGTTGATGATGAGCACATTAATAAACTTATGAATAAATTAATGTAGAATTAATTATGTTAGCCAAGCAATTTACAGCACAATTTTGCCAACCTTATGTACACGTGATTTTTGTTTAAAATTATTATTATGTTTTATTGTCAGTAAAGTAATTGAAATGAAAAAAAAAAAAATTATTATCTTCCCGAAACAGATGATGAAAATGAAGCAACACGGCCTAGTAGCGGACCTCTTGCCCAACATAAGGTCCATGCAATTTGCCGGCCACTTCATGTTCAACTATTACAGCGAGGGAAAAAAGTTTCCGCACAAAATGTTTTGCTTCGTAAGTATATTTTTTTTTATCGAGCTTCGAGAACCGTCTGGAGAAAATCAAATGTGAGCTTGTACAATTTATCAAACACATGAATAGTCCAATTGTTCCACCAATTCAAAAAAAAGTTAACGATTGAAATATACGTGAAAAGACACTTTACAATAAATTTTGTTTCCCAAAAAAAAGTGCTGTGCTACAAGAAGTACCCAATGAAATTTAAATTTAATTCTGGAAGGGTTTTGAAAATAACTGCATCCAAGCCCGGAGTAAATGATAACAATGATAATAAGGATAAAATGGCTTGAGCGAGATGTACAAGTGCAGCCATCCTTTTGCAGATTTCGCTCTTCATAATACTAATCCAGTACGTCCTGATGGGGCTGAATCTACTGATCGAGTCCGACGACGTGGACGACATGACGGCAAACACGATAACGATGCTCTTCTTCGCCCACCCGATCGTGAAAACCCTGTACTTTCCGCTCTTCAGGAAGGTATTTTACAAAACCCTGGCTGTATGGAATAATCCCAACAGCCACCCGCTGTTCGCTGAGAGCAACGCACGCTACCACGCCCTCGCCATCAGCAAAATACGCAAGCTTTTGTTCTTCGTGATGTCGATGACCTTCGTATCGACCATCTGCTGGACGGGCATCACGTTCTTCGAGAAGCCGGTGCGATTGCGAGTTGACAAGGAGACCAACGAGACCATCAGCACGAAGCTACCCAAGCTCATGATGCGCTCCTACTACCCGTACGACGCCATGGGCGGCATGAACCACATGCTCACCCTCCTGTATCAGTTTTACTTTCTCCTGGTCACCATGTCCCTCTCGAACTCGATAGACACGATCTTCTGCTCGTGGCTGTTGTTCGCCTGCGAGCAGCTCCAGCATCTCAAGGACATCATGAAACCCCTCATGGAGCTCAGCGCGACCCTCGACACCGTCGTGCCAAACAGCGGCGAACTCTTCAAGGTGCGTCCTCACCCACCACTCACCTTATAACATTTGTACCATGTCATACCAGATGGACGTGACTGTTTATTTAATGCCACTTGGGAGTGGACTCTGTTCGTTCCACTCTTCGTAGTCCGTTAAAGAACTCTCAGGTTTTCAACAACTAGTAAATAATCTTTGATTGGTGCAACTGTTATGTACTTTTTTTTTTTTTTTCGAGGCCAGTCGTATCATCACTACTGAACACTGAATACACACAGTAAACAATATTCCAGAAGTTAAATCTTAATGTTGCAAAGAGTCGAGCACCGGGTACATATTGAAACCGAGATTTCTTCCAATTGTTGTTTTTCGAAACAAATCATGAGAACAATTTTCAAATCATGTCAAACCGCGCAAATTTATACTTGAGAGAACGTTGAGTCCCCGCGAATTTTTACCAAGTAAATGTAACGAGGTGCGCTTGAAAATCAGACAACTTGAACACGACGTCCAAGATATTTAATGTGTAGAATCCTTTGATCCGATTTTTCTTCAAATCGTTCGAGCCTTAACGCACCCATTGAAAAGAAAACCCAATGATTTCCCACGAGTCATCTCCCCCCCCCCCCGCAGGCCGGAAGCGCAGATCACCTGAGGGACTCGAGCATAATGCCAAGCAGTAACGGCGACGGTGGCGTCGTTGATTCCGACTTGCGAGGCATTTACAGCAATCGACAGGACTTTACGGCAACCTTCCGGCCAACCGCAGGCATGAACTTCAACGGCGGCGTGGGACCCAATGGACTGACCAAGAAGCAAGAGATGCTCGTCAGGAGCGCCATCAAGTACTGGGTCGAGAGGCACAAGCACGTCGTCAGGTGAATATTACCTTTATATTCGTCCCCTCGAGCTGTACGTAACTTTTGAATTTGATGTACTCAAGAGTTTTTTTTTTTTTTCAACAATACATTTTTATAAGACTTATCTTAAAGTTCAAGCTTTACAATCGCAAGTAAAGTTCGTGCAAAAAAGTCTCGATAACCGAATTCCAATTGTGTTTATTCCCATGAAAAAAATGATGAGATTCAACTATACATCTACGCTGTTCGTGTGCACGTTCTTTACATCCTGGAGAATCTAACTAAATTGAAAAACTCCCAAGTAAGACTCTTAAAAAATTTGCACACGAAAAGTAAAATTACCTATAGCTGATTCACAAGTATAGAAAATTCTATGCGCCATTGCATCGGTATTTTTTTTTTTTTACACCCTCCTATTTCGCTGTCCAAACGTTTACACCTGCAACGCAAGAAAAAGAGGAGACGAAAAAAAGACCCCACGCCGACATGATTTGTGTCGTGCACGTGCAAACGAATAACGTTCACGTGAGCTTGTCAGTCAGCTTCCGTCAGAAAAACTCGGACAGTGGCGTTTTTTTCCCCATATACCCAACGATCGCGAGGCTGCGAGCAAGAGTCTATAGGACAAGTACTCGTACGCGTGCGTGTGCCGGCACGGCGATACATTTTATAATTCGATCGAGCTCGCTCTCCTCGCTGTATATGTACCATGAATTATTTAGTCGCACCGGCTACCATTGGGGTTTTGTGTTGTTTTTATACATATACATACTCGCTGCGCGTACGTGCACTCTACTCGGCTTCTCTATTCATTGGCAGTGTCTGTAAAATATCGATCTGCTGTTTGAAAGGTGATGCTGCAAGACACACCTCGCGACAATGAGAACATTTGCATGTTTGAATGTTTCAATCGCAATGCAATTATTTTTTTTTTGTCGCCAAAGAAATTATAAGTTGTGCCATTTCGTTCGATAAATTTACAGGTGATCGGACCGATATGTACAAAGGACGCACAGCTTTTTTTGTGATGACCTCGTACCGATTGCCATTCGCCAGCAAACGCGTTGCCCACGATTGATATTACAAATTAAAATTACAGTGTCGTCGCTCGGTGAACCTTGTTTGACTGCGCACGACTTTGTTCGCAACTTGGGACACTTGCGGCCTCGTGAGCTAACGGTACGCTGTAAGGGACAAGGTCGCGTGATTTTAATGTCACGTTTCGAAGTGAGTTTGCTCGAGCATAAGATTAGCTGTCTAGGCCACTTGGGCTATAATTTCACTTCGTGGCTCATAGTTTCGCGGAAATTTAAGGGCTTACGGGAATGCCTTTGGTTCACGTTTAATGGGTGGGTTGGGTGGGTGTGTATCATAATTTTGGTTTCCAAACCCCCTTCACAAATGTTCACGTTGTTGTTGATTCTTTATTATGGACCCCTTATTTTAGATTAGCTAAAATTTCTTTCACAGACTAATACGCTAATCATTGATGACAATGGTAGTGTAGATGTATTGCACTGAATCAGTTTTTTTTTTAAACTTCTAAGTTGGCAATTAGATACATACCAAACGCTGATTAATGCAGGTTATTCTCGTTGTTCTGCTCGGCCGTCGGTGGCTCGTCTTACCTCACTCGTCTGTTTCTACTTACTTGCGCGAACGATAAACGTTTTTCAGGTGTTGAAAGTAATATATTTATATACTGTTGGCTATTTTGTTCAATCAATTTGGAAATGGTTCAAAGATACTGTCGATTGACAAAAATAAATATTGCATAGTTTATAAAAACACCACGACGAATACACACGTATTTCAAATCAACCGGATTGAAACTCTTGATGTTAATTTTCGTTTTTGTTTGTTTGAAAACCACCCGATTGAAAAAAAGCATCGCTGAAAAAAGCACCCGAGCCAATATTTTCCGAAACAACTCTTTTTCCCACAATGGGATTTCACCGAGTGAATCTCAACGAATTTCTATTTAAAAACCACCCAACGTGAAATGTGCGCGACTGGGGAAAAGAAAAACAAATAAAACGCACTAGGAAGGCAAAACTTCAATTTGCACCGATTCTGTATAGTGGCTTTGCACACTGCTGCTGGGATCGATACCGAGAGCCATCAGCGGTGCTTTTCGGCGCAAGCACTGTTATGCGGAACATTCACCGTAATAGGTTTGCCGAAACAATACATGATAAAAAAAAAAAAAAATAAAAAAAATAAAAAAATAAATAAAGAATAATAAAAAGAAATAGATATCACCTCTTTGCAGTAATATCGCAATGTCAAGAAGCCCGCATCCCATGTCCGATAATGGTGTCTCCTGGAGCTGTTCCCGATAGAAAAATTCACGTAGTTACGCGAGAGAGAGGGGGAAAATAGGCAAGAAGAAGAAGAAGAAGCGGCAGATAATGGTGTAGTGGCGGATCGATCGCTGGGGCGTACATAGCACCTAGCTATAGCTCGCGAAATCGACGAGTCGAGTCTGTCTCTATTGCCAGCGAGAGCGAGAGAAAAAAAAGAGGGAGGAGAGACCAGTACTTGAGCTCGACGTGTATAGGGGGATCGAAGAGAATGGCTGTAATATGTGCAGTGCGAAATAACACTATGCTACGATATACCTCCTCCTCCTACCACCACTACTACTATGACTATAACTACTACTGTATTCTGCTCAAAGTTACTCGTGTATACGTATACGCACGAGTTCTTCCGCAAAATAATTCATGTCATTGACGTTTTCGAGCTGCACCTGTGCTCTTACGGAGCCTTCGTTTCTCTAGGGGTTTCGCTTTCGTGTCCGTGCGTATCTCACTGCTTTCCCTCTGCCGATGCATTACGGGTGATGTAGGGCTTTTCCCTCTGTGGACTGTACGAAACGAACGAGCACCACGAGATTGATGAGTCCACGGGTGCAACGTTTGTAACGAGAAACGCGTTGGTGATTGCCAGCTCCGTTGTGTGTCGAGGTATCGAGAGCACACCGAGAGCTCTTTGTCGAGTATCGGTTTCTTTTTCGCAAGCTTTACGGATACCTCACTCCACAAGGATTTCACCAGAGGTGTTTTGACGTTTTTCGTTTGTTTGGGGTGGGTTTTTCTTTGAAAAACGAGTCCTACTCACGGTTACGTTAGGTTGCGACTAAAATCCAAGTTGATTTAAAATATAATTTGTTGTAAAATTTATAGCCACTCGGTTTTTAGATTCTTGAATGATAATCAAACCGACGGTACGTCGAATATTTCAGCAGGTGGAATAAACTGAGTAATTTTTTTTTTCATCAATAGATACGACAACGCTGTAGATCGATAAATATCCACTCAAGTGCTGCGTTGCATTTTGTAAAAGAATGGAAATAATTAAAACGACACACCTGTGAGATCCGAGAACAATTCGAGGTAGTCCAACTTGCAGCACGAATTGATTCAGTAGCAGGTGTTCTGTAAACGATACCAAGCTCGCAGTTCGATGAGTTGGGGAAGTTTTTGCGCTCGTGTCCGTCACGAATATTTTAGTGCTGATGGGTTAGACGGCACTTACGCAACGAATGGAAAAGTCGTGTCATCTACATCGAGCTTTGAACTCACATAGTGGTGAAACGTCCTTCGATTCATTGTGCAGAGTGTTATTGTTAGACGATCCCGCATTGAAACCCCAAGCTCTTTAATCTCCCTCTTTTGTATTTTTCGTGAATTTTGAATTTTACACGGAGCGAAGTTGAATTCATTTGATGAATGGGGCTTTAAATAGGGTTTTAAACAAACCCTCGTTTCATACTTTAACACCCGCACTGTTTAAATACCAGAGCTTTAATGTTAGGCTCGTTCGTGTCTTTAGTCAACTCGCAAAAAGAAAAGTCGAATGGAATGAGTTTGTGCTTTAAAATTTTCTTACCTTTTTTCGAGTAGGAGTAGTGTAAAAAACCATAGAACAAAGGATGAGTGAGTTTCAGAACAAAGGGTATACGGTCGGTGAAGCTCGGATGAGAAAAACTAGAACGTGAAAGGAAGTGAAAAAAAAGTGCTCGGGACGATGGGAAGTTTTAATCTTGGCGGTCCTCCGTGTATCGATCGTCCCACGGCTCGTATGTACATGCACGTATTATGCAGAGTTTGGTTTTTCGCGCTTGTCAAATATTCAAGGGATCCACTCTGGACGAGCAAGTTGGGAGCAGAGCTTTCGAGAGGCTTCGGATGGTGTGTTAACGGTTGCATCTGTAGGGTGGGCTTCTTCTTCTTCCTCTGGAAATGAGGGTTGCGGATTTTATTTGCGGGGAGGGCCGAGCTTGTTGGTTTTATTATTTTTTTTTTTTAGCTTGAGCTGGAGATTGGGATTCTTTCCTGAGGCAATGACCTTTTGAATCCAAGCTCGTCTTACTTGGAATTTTCATTCGACGGTTTTCAACTTTTTATAGTTATTAATACTTTCGAATTTCCTCATCACTCGAGGTTGATTTAGTAGGTAGGTGTAGTGGTTATTTTATAAACATTTTTCTAGATTCACAGCAATGTTAATAGGTATTTAATGGATTGCTAAACATTGATGTATTACTAATTATTGAATCGATTGTATCAAGTGAAACAATTTTTGGTATACAAATACGTGAAACAGAAGTGTTGTCACACGTTCCAGAAAAGTATTGATAAAATAGTTGTTGAGCTTTAAATTGAATTATTTATCTATCACTTATTCAACAATACTATCCCTCATTTCATAAAAAAATATCGATTTTAATGTCACGTTCTAGACATGACTTTGACGATCATATTACTGCGATTACGCTAGCAAATTCTAATATTAAAATTATATTACATACTGTCATGATACCAAGAATAAATTTGAAATTCAAACTGATTAAAATTGCACGAGTGTAGACGATAGCACACTCAAAAGTAACTTTATGCACGTGTAAGAAACGGCTTTGCATGTTTGATTTTTCCGTTTGACCAATCCTGACTTATTCTACTGATAACGCGTGGTTTTTTTTCTTCTTTTCTTTTAGCTTCATGAAATTCTAATATTAACCGATTGATCACGCTAATTGACAAAAATATTAGTTGATGGGTCTAGCTGAAAAAAAAAATTTTTCAAAACAAGAGATAAGTTTCTTTTTTATTGCGATATTTTAAGCATACGTAGTGCATTCAAGTGGGTTTAAATAATATGCGCCTCAAGTGCGGAATTAAAATGGTTATTGTAGTATTGTAGTATTGTTAAAAGTTTGAGAAATAATTTAAATGGTGGTTTATCAATAATTTGACCAGCTCTATTGATTCGAAAAATTAATTTGCACGAGCGTAATTTTAATTGAAACGTTTCTGTCACTGCCGTCCTGTATTAAAATTTTTACGACTTAACATTGTTCAGTTTCATAAAACTAGTTTAATGATCAATGGTGATTTAGTTTGGTTGTTTATCACATAACTATTTACATTCTCTTGATAAACTGTACGTATTTGTAGAGATTTCAATGAAACACTTTAAAATATGTAATATATATTAAAATATATAAAAAATTTTTCAAGAAAGTGTCAATCGAATGATACTCACGGAAAAAAAATAGAAAAAAATGTCTCATACATGAACTGGGTTCAGAAAGGTAATATTTATGAGAAACGTGACATACAAGCTACAAAACCAAGAGAGCAAGCTCAGCCGTCCCATCCGATTGATCGTAAAAGTCGTAGACAGTAATACTCTCACACTTCCATCAATTCACCTCTATACTATACATCCAGCCTTTCCAGCTTACATATGCATTTCAATCAATTGCCAAATCGAGTTTCTTACAGAACACACCCTTACTTGCCTTTTATTATATTCAAATACTATTCGCGATTCTCATACACTTGCTCAGATGCTGTCTCTACCCACACATTTTCTGTACAGTACTATACCCGCATATCGAACATGCATTCACTTTATTATAGTATACCATTACTCCTGACGCATACATACACTCTACTTCGCGAATATCACCTTTTTTACTATGTTTCGATTGATTTTATTACGTTTTTAGCTTCCATGAAAAAATTTTTTACTATGATATTGAAGAAAGTTGAAGCTAAGTCGTAAATAAACGATATAAGGAAAATGAGTAGAATGCATCCCTTTGTGGTAAGACAAATCAGCGATTCGATATTCGTGATATTTTTTTCGTGAGTTCATTGGCTTAAGTACAAGAATTATTCGTTTCTTACTTCAAATGATTAAAAAAAAAAAAAAAAAAAATTGATCTAAAAAACAAAATATGGCGCTTATGTACAGAATAAGTAGAACACATCAATACATGGTAAGACGATTGTTTATTTGCTTTAAAAAAAATCGTGTAATACACTGTCCTTTTTATTACTTACAAACAACATTAAAAAATATCTCAACTAAGAGTTGACGACAAAACATTTAAAAAATAAGTAGAACAAGTTGGTTAATGGTAAGACATCAATTAACATGAATGCCGTGGTATTTTGTATACTTATTTGTGTTAAAAAAAAAAGATAGCTACTTCTTTTATTCATTACCTAAAATCAATATCAAGGAAAATAAATTAGTTTTAAAGGTTAATGACAAAGTATTAACATACAATAAGTAGATTGGTTCCGTTTTTGGTAAGACATGTATCTTGGTATAACAAAATTCAAATTTTTTTTAGGCTTCTAGGCTTAAGTAAATTTTGTTTGTTTCTGAAAGTAAGGCCAGAATTAAAAGTAAATATTTCATATCTGGATAAAATAAGTAGATTAGATCTTTTGTCGTAAGCCGTAAGGAATACGGAAAAATCCGTATGACATTTGTTTAAGAGTTATTTAATTTTCGAAAAATTATTATTTAAAATATTGTCGAAATATCAATAAAAACGCAAGGGCAGAGTATTTACCTGGAATTAGAACTAGTCTTTATTTGGTAAGACACAATAAATAATATACAAAAACTTTATTACTATTTTCTGTCATTGTCTTATTTTTTTAAGATCATAATGTTATTTTTCGTTTTATTCTTATTCAAAATTATTAAGTGCGAAGTAATAACATCATATTTGTATCGGTACACAGAATACATTTGTAAACAGTAAAATAGGCACCTATAAGATGGCAAGCTTAATTATTTTTTATTTATTTACTTCAGAAGAAACTCTATTCCACATTTTTATTTAGTATCACTTCAAATCTGTCCTGTGAAATAATTCAATTGAATATCAAGCTAAGTATAAACACAAACGTGTAATCGGTAGAATAAATCCATGAATGTTAAGACAGACACTCATACTTGGAGTATTTTATGCGCTACAGAAATAACAGTAACTCTTTGCATTTCTATTTAAAATATGTATTTACATAGTCGCTGTTTATCTGTACAAGTTAAGTAGAATATACATGTTCATGCTGAGACTTGTGTATTCATTTAAAGAAATTCAAGTAAGTAGTTTTTGGAGATCTATTCGATTTAAGTATATTATACCTTTATTTTTCAATTGGTCTTTGAAAAAATCACATATAGACACTTATTATTTTCACCTTTAATTGAAACGATTTTCGAAAAATCAAATAACGAAAATGGGTCATTTGCGGGAAAAAAGTAGAACAAATCCGTTAAGGGTAAGACACATTTTTACAGGCTTACATTATTTCATGTAAACGTTTATTTGTGTCTTAGAGGATGCAGTTTTTTTATTAAATTGTATTCTTATTCGAAATTATTCTATGCAAACAAAATTAACTGTAAAGTTACAGCAGTATGTCTACATCTTAGAAGTAGAATATTGTCGTGTATAGTGACACACATATCAATGACATAAAATGCTTGTTTTGATTGAATTCCATTGATCTGTGAAAAAATTATCTTATTTTTTTTATGAAACGTTGCTTAAAAATCGAGTTTAGAGAGTAGTCGAGTTTAAAATACTGTATACTCGCAAATGTTAAATCAGTAGAGTACACCTGTCAGTGGCAAGACACGTATTAATTGATTGTAGTTTTAAGTATTTTATGGGCGTTTAAACGAAGTAAAATTTTTTTAGCAGTACATAGTAGTTATAATTAATTATTTTGCATATTTATAAAATAAAGTAGAACATATCCATATATGGTAAGACTTACGTAAACATGATAAGTGTACGTTTCTTCACAAATAATTACTTCTTTAGTAAATAATTTTTGTTTCATTACTGTTCTAATGTATTAATATTATAAAAATATAAGGAAACCATTGAATAGCCGTAACAATTTTTTCTGAACATCAATAAGAACTTTCCTGAATCCTCCAGATAATTATACACTGCAACGAAATCGGAGATGACAAAAACCCTACCAAACCAAACGGGGCATTTTGCTTTTCTAAAGAAAATAAGAGATGGAAATTCACTTTATTTTTCTTTCGTAATCTATAACCTTGCACATTCGCACGTACTCATGTTTAGTCACACTTTCTCGTTGTACCCATCACCATGGCAATGTGCATGCGGATAGAGCCTTCAAGTTTCAACCCAATACACTTGTATGTACCGAAGCTCAGAACAACCCACGCATACGATTCCCGCAGCGTCAGCCCAAACTTAAACGGCGCTTCCCTCGGTTATACAATATGCATACAGGGGCGCCAGCGGGCCGTAATGTAATGGCTGGGTGCTCTCCAAAACAACTCTGTCAAGGCAAGGAGATATCGTTATCGTGCGGCTAGTAATAGAGATTTTTTTAACGTCGTTATTACACATCGGGCTCCTCATGCTTTACAGCATATAGTAAAACGTGCCCATGTATGTCGTTATTATAATCGAGCTACCCATTCATTGATTTTTTTAGGCTGACTGGCTTGATCGGAGACGCGTACGGTGTGGCGCTGCTGCTCCACATGTTGACGACGACCATCACGTTGACCCTGCTCGCTTACCAAGCCACCAAGGCGAGTTCATCATTACATATTATCAAATAAATAAAATCATAGTCTTGTAACTTAACAAGGCATCTTTATGCTACAGGTGAACGGGGTAAATGTATATGCGTTTACGGTTATTGGCTACTTGGTCTACACCCTCGCGCAGGTGTTTTTGTTCTGCATATTTGGCAACCGACTGATTGAAGAGGTACGATGAAATTTTTATTTTTTGTTTCCCACGAGAAAACAAATGGTAAGAGTTTTGTATTATTTGCTCTGTTTGGCGCAGAGCTCGTCGGTAATGGAGGCTGCGTACTCCTGTCACTGGTACGACGGTTCCGAGGAGGCTAAGACGTTCGTGCAGATCGTGTGCCAGCAGTGTCAGAAGGCTATGTCTATATCGGGAGCCAAGTTCTTTACCGTCTCTCTCGATCTGTTTGCCTCGGTAAGGAAGCTGGAAAAATATGTTTTTTAATTAAGAAAAATAGGTTTCGTTCAGAGTAACTTTGTTGCTATTCAGTTGGTGCTCATTTCATTGTTTTTTATACCTTTTCGTTTGAATTTTATTTTATTCGGCAAGTTTAGTTCCAAACCCATTGTCTCTATGAACAAAAAAATATTTTAGATAAAAATTCATCAAATCCATGCAGAAAGCCCCTTTTTTTTTGTTTTCAAGAAAAAGTAGTAATTTAATGAAACTTACTCCTTCGTGGTGAAAAAAAAATAACGAATAGGTGATTGAATTTTTCGCTCGTAGTCATTGCATTAACTAATTAAACTGTGTATAAAAACAGGTGCTGGGTGCCGTGGTGACGTACTTCATGGTGTTGGTGCAGCTGAAGTAAATTCCTCACGGGCTCCAAGCTCAAGGATCGCCCATCCATACTATACCTACACGACTCTGCTACTACGACCATCCTCTACCGCCGCTTTTACCATCTTTCGATCTTCTCTCTTTCCTCGTCTCCTTGTGTGTCCACAACTCCTTTTCTACGAACACCGGCTGCATCAAAGATTCCGGTGGTTGATCTTACGAGAAAATAAAAAGAAGAAGACAAAAAAAAGGAGATGAGAGTAAAAGCCTCCGGGCAAGCAGGCAACTTTGCTCTTTGAGAGGATCGAGGAAAGCCTGGGAAAAGAGGATGTACACACACTCATGGGCTGGTTTCTCGTTTCGAGCGAGTTTCTCGCCATCGGTCCAAAGGGGGACGGGGAGTGCAATATCTCTGTATGTGCGTTGGCTTTACGAGAGTTTCTGGGCATCTGCTCGAGACCGCAGGATTTTTAGTTTGTTTCGCTTGACGTTTTCACCCGAGGAATGAGATGGATAGTATCTCAGTTTAAAAGAGGATATGTTACGTAGATACCTTCGATTTTCTATATGACCAGGGCGACAGAGTTAAAACTTTTTTCTCTTGTAAACTGTCGCAGCTTTTCATTTAACTGAATTTTTTCAGATCTTTTTTTTTTTTTTTTTCCAAAATGTTCGCTTGAGTAAGCTGAAAGAGCGTTTACAAAGTATAAGTTGAAATTTCTCTTTTTCAGAAGCTCTTTTCAATTGATTGTTTATCTGTTTTTCAACTGTTGTATCATCCTACCATCTGTGATTGGTTAACAGGTTGTGCCTGACAGACGAGCTATGCGTGATTAACGAATCTTGTGGATTAATTGTTAATGTTAAAAGGATATTGGGATTTTTTAACTTTTCCTGATCCCACAAGAATTTATTAATTTACGGTATTGGTTGTATTACAAAAATAACTTTTCATCTTAATAATATGAAACACAATTTTAAAATAAAGTTCCTTAAAAATTTATTTTCCATATTGTTGCAAGCATTTCTGTAAAAGCTCGTTAATTCTCATTATACTCTCCACTTATCAGCTCTTGATATTTATCGTTGTTATTGTGACTTAAAAAATTATTTGATTTTAATAAGGAATATTATTATTTATATTGGTGTTACATTAGTCAAACTGTCTATATAAATTATTACCCATGATATTATTCTACTAGAAAATATTTATTCGTAGCATATTTTACAGTAAACGTGAAACTGCTGAGGGAAATGAAACGCTAAGCATAATAGAATATAACTTAAAATCACAAACTTTTACGGAACCATCTAATTTATCCTAATTTTTTCAATGTTAGCCGGAAGTACGTGAAATCATTGTTCAAAAATACATGGTAAAGAATAGCAAAAACCCTGAGGCCTGAAACTGAATACTTTTCTTCATTCACATGTTTCTAAATAATAATGAAATAAAAAATTCAATTAAAAATCTTACTTGATTGTGCCTTTCAGAAATTGTTTTTTTACTTTTTTAAAGTACTTTCGATTGAAATTAAAAAAAAAGCAGTCAAAAACGAAAGAGAAGCGTAAAAGTTTCTATTTTTATGAAATTAATGACACCATGCTATTGTATACTTCATAAATTCAATTGAATTTTAAAATTCACGTATCCATATTACTTGTTACTATTATCTAATGATACTTTTAAAAACAAAATGGTACATGTTATTAAATATATGATAACTAAGATTTTTTACGTATTTTTAATGAACAAAGTGACCAAAAAAATAACATCAGGGAACTTTAAGAGCATTGCGTAAAAATCTACGTAAATCATATCAATATCTACTACTGGATATTTATCAGAGTATTATAATACATAAGTTTATATTGTACATACAATATTTGATATTTTTTATCTTTTTTTCTAACTAACTCAAGAGCATATAAATATTTTTCTAGCCATTGGACTACGGTCTTGATGGCTTAATCAATAAAAAAAAAAATAATAATAATATTTTTCTGATCGACAATAGATGTAAATAAAAAAGCGTCGACTTCTATTCATTTAATGTTGATAAAACTATACATCGGAGCTTGTAAATCAAAGAAAGTGAAAGTGATGCGTGAAAAAAATGAAATTATGAATAACTATGGTATACTCATCTATGTATCATACAACGCGTAAGAGTAAAATATTGTAGTCACATTCATGTAAAATATCGGCGTTTTTATCATTAAAACGAATTATATTTTATAGAAAAATATTCTTTAAAACATTTCATTGTCTTTTTTTTCATACACATTATTAATATGAAATAAATAAAAAATAAAAATAAAAAAATCATACAAGTCAATATTTTTAAACAGATCTAAAACACTATCCAAAGTTTTATTTCAACTACTGATAATAAAATGCAATGATATGTATAATGTTAATGTAGCGATTTAACCAATATGAATAATCGTCAACATTTGCAATAATTATATGAAAAACAATCGTTTTTTTGTAGATTTCTGTAAGCCTGTATTATATTTCTTTAATAAAATAAAATGTACGAAAACATACAAAAAATGGCAATGATATATTGTTATCCCACATCCAACCCACATTTCTCACCGTCAAATTATCCAGCGCATCGCATCGGTATTCCAGATGAAAAAAAATACCTTGAAGTTTTTCCTCGCATATTCTTGAATGAATAAAAATCCACCTCAGCGACGCGCGACGCATCAGTGCTCTTGCTTACATGACGCGAGCACAGGCACAACGAAAACCCTGAGCATTATTTTTCTCCTGCCACGCAATATTCGAAAGTGCACGATATATATATATATATATATATATATATATACGAGGGCATCTTCGCAGTGACGAAGAAAATCTCCATGTACCTTTCAGCTCAGTTTCTACCTTAAAGAAATAAAAGACTTTGCCAGTTAAAAACATTCTTTTCTACAAGTATTCCAATAAAAGATGAGAATGTACGTGTGGTAGGTACGGAGGAGGGTAGCCGTTTTAACAAATGGCGTTTAAAAAAATCCTGAAAAGTTGTAGTGGCCAGTACAGGCTTTGTAACAAATTATTCTGAAAATGTTCACTGAATGTGTATCAAATACAGAGCAGATAATCGACGATTTAATTACTGAAAGAAAAAATATTTTAATAAAATAAAATATTTAAAAAAAAGTGGATAATTTCACTTATACTGAAAATATATTTAAAAAAATAAGAAATAAAATGAAAATATTTTTCTTGCAAACAGTGTACTTTTTGTTATTGTCGAAATAAATTAGTTGTACAAAACCGACAAAACATGGCATTAACTTGGGCCTACGAGAGCACTTGCATATTCAAAGTGAGTCCAATCGTCGTAGAAAGTAATAACTAGTAGAATTCATAATAAGTAAAGTACGAAAAGTATCGGTAAAAAGTTATCCTTCTCCAAAAACTATCCACCCCCCCCCCCGGTCACGCGAGTAATAATACCCTAAGGGATGAAGCTTTAACACCAAGAAGCAATATTGAAAATTTCTCCATAAAGAAAACCTCCCCCTATTGTCATCCAAGAGCACACCAAAGACACTGCATGCACTCAACCCTCCGTGTGTCCCAAAGGCAAGAAAAAAAAAAAAAAAAAAAAAAAGGAAAGAGCCAGCGAGAGCAAGTCTCGATCGCTCGATCGATCCCAAGCTCTCTCTCTCTCTCTCTCTCTCTCTCGACCCTATATTCATACAAATCCTAAAAAAGAGCAGAGGATGAGAGTGACATACCCAGAGTCAGCAGTAAACCAACCCTTTGCTCTTGTCATGTCAGCCTTCCTCCCCGCCCCCACCCTCCTCCTCCTCCTGTAAAAAGCGCATGCGCCAAAAGTGCAGCTGTAGCATCTCCCCGTGCCCACGTGTATGTGTGTGGGTAACAGTGGTAAATACCCTCAGTAGCGGAGTTTCGATCGCGCCTTGGGGGTTGGTCCACCCCTCCTCGTCAGTCCCGGCCAACCTACCCTTTCGTCGACGGGTGCCGAAGCTTAACCTCGTGCTTCGAAACGTCGCGAGCCTTTCCCGCGCGCGATATTTCCATATCGACACGTACACGCGGCGAGGGAAAAAGAAAAAAAAAGGGGTGCCAACGAGGATGGACTCGTGGAGGAATAACCGGGACGTGGAAGAAGACGAGGAGGAGGAAGAGCAGTCGCATCGACACGGCCACAGCTGCACGTAGGTAGCGGAGGGGGTGGCGCCGGGAGTGATATGGCCCGAGGGCACCGTCCACCGGCACGTCTCGGCTCATTTTTCATCCCTTTGTTACCTCAAGCTTGTACATTGAATGCCGCTCCCCCCCTGGCCCCGGCCATCAAGCGACCCTCGTGCATCGGTGCAGTTGCTCCCCGAGTAGCGGGGGCGCATCGTCAAGCCGAGAGCGTGAGTGCGTGATGTTCATCCGCGCCAGTTGCGCTTTACTCGACGTTCAACCACCCCCTCGATGGGGGGCTTGTGCACCAGTACGTCCTTGTAGGCCCGAGATTTTGGCAGTACCGATACACGTTTTGTTGGTTGGTGTTGTCCTTTCGATGCGTCACGTCGTTGCCTGCATAGCCTAGACAATAAGACAACGGGACACCTCAAGCAACGAGTCACGAAAAGCAATCGCACAAGTGCCAACGATAAAACTCGACGAAAGGGTGTGATGCATAGCACACGCCAACCCAGCCTCAATATGCATCAAATGACAAAGGGGTCGGAGAGTCCAAGAATTGTACTCGCGTTCGACGTGGAGAGTTGGGAGGTAACCGAGAGGGAAGGAACAGTTGAAGCCGAGTAATAGAGATGCGGTACGTGTCGTCGAAACTCAGAGAGGCTGGAAGCTCGGAGGCTCCAGTCGCAGCCAATCAGTCACCATAGGGACGAAAACCGCGAGCGGTAGGAGGAGGAAGAGCCTCCTGCCGCTTAGACAGAACCGTGAGTATGGCATTTTCGATTTAACGTGCGTTACAATACGTATGTATGCATGTAGCTCGTAATTAATCGCCAAAAATCGTATAAATGTATTGTGTACGTGTGACGCGTTTTCGTCACGAGTGTATCTTTGACGGGACGTGTAATGATGAGAGAGACCGCGTGCGCGTGTATCGCGTGGAAGGGGGTGGGAGAGTCGGTGCTACAGTCGCTGTCGATGCTATATGCATCTGTGTACAGCTGGTGGTGCACGGATGCCGAGATTGCCGAGAGGAGGCGCGTTATTGCTCGGTGCGCCAGAGATTGGGAAACTTTTGGTCCAGAGCGTTTTTCCCTTTATCATGCACGTTGCGTAACGCACTGATAATGGGACCGACGTGTAGGGAACGGTTGCACGAAAAATTGTACTTTTTGCGTGGTTCCGGGGGAAAAATTTTTATCATAACGTTTTTCGCGCGACTTTTTGGCGAATGTGAGCAAGAGCCGTTGCACGTGACACACCTTGTGCGGATTTTTTTTTTATTTAGAAAGTGTTTGCTGTTTGGAAAAGTATTTTTTAATTTGTGCGAATAAAATCAAGTGGTCGTATACAATTAAAAATTTTTTTTTTAAGTTTAATAGCATAGAGAGACTAAGTGATGGTTTATTAAAGTCATATTTATAGAAATTAAGTTTTTGAAGTAAAAATACAAGATTTCG